TACTGCGGTTTCTATTACTGCTTGATAGGCGATGGGGGAGAACTGCTGAGTACTACTCAAAACTGCTGAGTCGCCGAATCTACGTGGGCCGGGCCACTTGGGCCGTGCGGAGTGTGGCCACGTGCTCTGCGGGGTCTCATGCTGTAGGGCGCGGCGCGATGTGCGGTGTGATGCCGTTATGAGTTATGAACATGTGGCGGAGGAGGCCCCATGGGGCAGAGCCCGTGGGGCAATGCATGGGGTCGGGGATGCTGTTGGACTTGGGATATGGGACGTCGTCTCTGTGTATGTGTGCGTTTGTGTGTCAGTGTGTGTTTGAAGGGAATGTCCTCTCGATGTCCAAAACGCGGAACGCACGTGTGTGTGTATGTGTATGTGTGTATGTATGTGTGTGTATGACATGATGAGCGCAGCAGGAGAAACACTTTGGGTTTTTCCTGCCTTTGGTGGTCGAGTTGTGTTGGGCGGTTTGGTTCGAAACGATGATGTGTGTCCGCAGTTACAGGAAGAAGCAGTTTGCGAAATAGTGACTAGAACGCGCAGGAGGAGGATCTTGGGGGGAAAGCTATCTGGGTGCAGCGGGTGCCTGCCTGTCTATCTGTCTGTCTGTCTGTCTGTCTGTCTGACGCCCTAAGGTGAAGATCTTGAAGGGGGAGTGGCCCTTTGCTAGCTGTGTGCGAGAGATGGAGGGGGGGGGGAAAAGAGGAGTTGAATGAAAGGAGGGCAAGCAGGGCGAAAACAACATGAACGATATGATGAAGGGTGCGACCGAAGAGATGGTTTGGGTTTCCCCAAATCGTTGCGAGGCGAGGTAAATCGGTACACTTCCGCTCTGAACGGTGCACGCACCGGGGATATTGGGTCAAGGTGATTTGCGTGTGTATGTCTGTCTCTGCGTCTGTGTGTATGATGTGTGAAACAGGGGGGTGTATCTTCGCCCGTGGCAGTTACCCTGCGAAACCCTGCCTTCCCCGGTATTTCGGGGCACCCTCATCCAGTCACCCTAGTCAACTTCTCAGTGGATCGCTCAGGTTCCGCACCCACCACCAGCATCCAACGGAATCTGCCGGGTCGACAGCGACACAACTCCGTACCAGGTCGGCTCGCAGGTTACCTTTATCCCAGGTCACCACTGTCCATCAACTACGGGCGCAATGCCTTCCACCATCGGAAAGACTTGTGACCCTAACGGGTATCGATCCCGGGATCTCCCGGGGGCAATGGTCGCGCCTTACCAGTGGTGCCAAACCCTTGTATGTATGTTTGTGTGCGCGCGAAGGTTACAAGTATCTGACCGGTGTGTGTGTGTGTGTGCGTGTGTGAAGATGAAGACCTAGCCATCTTCACCAGGGAGCACGGAATAGACACGATGCGGGATGGGAGTGCAAGAGGCGCGAGGGGGGGCCCCGGAGCGAGGGATGTTGCAGTCGGTGACGAACGTGGAATGGGCGGAACAGTGGGAGGATGAGCGGAAAGTGTTTGTATGTTTGCACGTGCATGCGTACGTACGTACGTATGCATGTACACGTATAAATGTACGTATGTGCGCCCGTGCGTGTGCATGCGTGTTCATATGGATTAGTTTGTGAGGGAGAGGGTGGTATGGGGGGAACCGGCTTGTGCGGTCTTTGCATGACAGACAGACGGACGTTGCGCGTTGAAGCCACTAGCGAAACGAAGCACACGTTCTGGACGACAGACAGACGGACAGACAAACGTACAAAAGTATTAACCTCAGTCTGGGTCTGGAATACCGAGAAACCAGGATGCGGGTGGGTGCGGTACCTGCGCTTGTCGCGGTGGTCTGTTTGGGGTTCTAAAGTGCGCACCTGCGGGTGTGAGGTGTTCGTGTTCTGTTGGTTTTCTGCTCCCCACTCCGCTCCTCTTTATGACATGCATGAAGCTAAAGGCGACGAATGAGGGCTTGTGCTTACGCGGTGGCCGGGCCCCCTCATGCAGGCTGAGGGCGTTGCAACGACCCAATTATTTGACATGCTTTGTTGTTCGATGCCGATGCTGTGGGTGAAGGAAGGAACGTTGACATGAGTTTGGAGGGGAAGGGAAGCGAAATGGAGGGTGGGTAGGGCGGGAGTCGGTTCGTTCTTCTCGCTCGCTCCAGGAGGGGTGAGGGCGGTTTCCGGAGGGGGTGTTATGGCGCTGTGTATTGCTGCCGGGAGAGCACCTTTTGCTCAGGTCGAGGGGTTCGGGAAGTGGAGTGAGGAAAGGGCGACGGGGGGCGTGAGAGGCCGTGAGCCGGGGACAGTTCCCCAGTTGTGTGCGCAGCTGTGGGAATATACATACATACATACATACATATGTGGGAGGGAATTTCCACTTGTGGCAGGGCTCGTCCTGGGATCAAAGGACGTAATGGGCGGGGACCTTGTTCTGTCGTTTCTCTCTTGGAATGGGAGCGGAGGGGTAAGGAAGGGGCAGCGTAGTCGTGGCACTGGCAGCGGTGATAGTGGCGGCAGCGGCCCGCGGGCGCCCCGTGAGCGCTTATTGAAAAAAATAAATCGACCTCGACTGCGGACATGATGTGTCCGTGCGCCGCGCCTGTGGCCCGTACTACGCCGCCCCTGATAGTAACCGCACCTAGTTGACCCGGATAGTGATCCGCGCGCACGATGCGTAGCCTATGATGATGTGCTAATATATAACTCCATTTTTTATTGGATCAACAAAGGTCTAAGATGGTGTGCACGCATTAGCTCTCTTCGCGCGCGCGCGCGTGTGTGTGTGTATGTGTGTGTGTGTGTGTCGATATGATGCATTTGTGGTTGTCATCACAACTCCGGGAAGTCATACTAGACTTTAGAAGGAAAGCGTTGGCGGGGCCCCTCCCTCCCCTTTCGCTCCCCTCCGCTGTACGCGCATTTCCCCAGTTGACTCGACTGAGAGCGGTCGAACAGCGACTGGAACACCGACGGTGCGGCCGGTAGTAAGACGGCTCTCCCAGAGTGCGGTTGTTGGACATCGGGAGAGGGAGAGGCCTGGAGCTAAAGAGTCTACAGCCCCGCTCCAGCTGTTGATGGGCTGGTCACGGTTCTTAGTTCGCGGCGCGGCGACCGCCAAGGTGTTTCTGGGGGTTCGGGTCAGCTGCTCGGGAGCTGCTTCGTACACACACACACACACAGAGTAATTTGCCACCTTTGCCAACTCTAGTACAAGAATTATCGTTGCACTTGTGGCTTTTTCAAAAGTGCCCATACCTATACTGTTCTGCCTCTTGTGGGCCGAAAGCTGCTCTGCTATTGCTGCCGAACATTGTCACGTCATGGGCTGGACAAGGTGATTTCGACGTTTGGACGCGTGGATTCGGGATTTTGCCATCACTGCAGTCGCGGTGCATGTCGCGGCCGTGTTGTTGTTAGCTTCGCTTGGCGCCGCTCGCTGCCCCTGAGGTCCCCACGCCAGAAAGGCCCCAATGTCTGTTAGGGAGGGGAATGCGACGTCAAAAAGAGAACCTGTTCCTCCTCCTTGGTTTTGAGGTATTTAGAGAGGTTCGGGTCGCCCCGCGCATACCGGGGAATGAGGAAAGATGGCCGGCGGCTGGGTAGATCGACCGATAGACGCGATGCGACGGGCCGATTGAATATGATAATGGGTGGTTTCAATGAAAAGATACGAAAGGATGGATGGAGGGCCGGATAGGCGGGCGGGCGGATGAGAAGGTCCGATAAAATTTGAATATTAAACAAACCGCTGTTTAATTATCACGGCAAAGTCCACGCACTCCCTCGTCGACTGAGTGCGTTTCTCTTGACTTTTGCTTGTCATAATTGGTAGAAACGCGACCATATAATCGTTGTACGATTTAATTGTACGTTTGATAGTGCGACATTGCCGTAAGCAAAGCCTCTGACTTTTTCACACCAATAGACTCGTATACCGGGATTGCGCTGCTTTTGGTTTTGAATTGTCAACCTGGCATTTACAGGTCCATGAGCGCTTAGGACCTAAGCTGGCTAGGCGCTGGGCACTGCATTGCGTTGGTTTGTGTCAAGTGAAGCGTAGTTCGACTTCACGACTGCGGTTGCAGCTGCCATGTCGCTGCGGTAACGCACACCCGTCTCCCAATCGCCGCATGTACGTGTGTGTGTATGTTGCTGGAGTTGTGTCCCCCTCCCAAGGTGTAATTAGCCCATACGGGCCCGCACGTTCACACACATGCATACATACACACGGTTCCAAATCATGCCCCGTTATATCTTATATGCATATGAGCCCCATGAAAGCCTTTCAAACAGCAAACTTAAGCACGGCGAATTAAGGCAAGCCAACTAACAACTGATAACCGACAATGGGTAACGGTCCAAAGATCACTCGTGACCAGGGGTCGGCAAATTGATTTCTACGGCTGCGGGAGGGGAGGGCATAATTCCGGTCAGTAAACCTTCAAAACTTCAAAGTCAGACACGGAGTTCAAGTCCAGCGCCCGGCCGCCAAAGAGGCTCCAAGTCACGTCTGTTGTCCAAATTAGATCATTAGGGACCCGCAGCCTTACGGGGCCTGAAGCCGAATTCCAGCTGCGGGTACTGTGGTACTGCGGACCCGCGGTACCCGCCTTCTTTGCCGACTGACTTGCTTTGCTCCTGACCGCGTAGTAAACCGCGCGGGAAGGGCTGCCGCCGGATGCGAAGGGAAAAGGGGTTACTTGCCGTCCGCAAGCTCTCCCTCCCACGCCCTCCCACACTTGCGGTCCTGTAGCCCTACGCAGCCTAACGTAGCCATTAATACATTTCGGCGACTGCGGCCCCCCCCACCTGTTCCTCCTACACACCTTCACAGAATACCCCGAAGCAAGTGAACTGGCGGCAACTGCCTGCAAGGCTTTGTCCGCGCTTCCACCGGCAAGAGAAAACCACAGCTATCCTACCACCACCGTGACCGCCAGGCCGCGTGCCCTTCCGCCCTTTCCTTTCCCTTCCTTTCCCTTCCTGTCCGGCACGACACAGCACAATCAGTCTGCCAGTCAGTCAGTCAGTCTGTCCGTCCGTTCAGTCCCCGATGGGATTCAGCAGGGGATTGCTTTCCGTGAGCCGATGGCTCCGACTTAGGGGGTTGCTGTTGTCCGAATGCAGCTGGTCAAAGGGGTCGTTGAAGGCGGAGCGAAGGTAGCGCTCGATGGCGCGACCGCGCTCTTGCTCTCGCTCCACTCTGCATTGAAATTTGTAGCGATGAAGATGATGATGATGATGATGATGGTGGTGGGGATTTCAACGGTGGTTATGGCCCGGTGTGGAGTGGGCAGGTGGAGGGGCGAGAAGGGCAAAAACCCCCGTCGCAAACAACACAAAGACAACTAAAGGACGAGGAGAGCATTTCGAAGGGCCTTCGCGGTTCTCTCGCGAGTAGGTTCGAGCACAACCACCACCACCACCACCACCACCGGTATTTCGTGTCATAATGCGAATGGCTGTATTGGCGGAGGTATGCCACAGTGGCCGGTGGGCAGAGCTGCGTGATGCGTGGCAATGCAGCGCAGTGCCATCGAACGCCACTCCCTAACTGCGCACATCTCTATAGCCCACCCCTACATCCGTCCCTCCTCTCCTCTCCTCTCCTCTCGAAAGCCTGATCCCCTCTCGGCAGCCAGCCCACACCATGAAAGCATGCTGCCCCTCTTCCCGCTGCCAACAAGGCGCCAAGTTATAGCTCATAGTACCTCATATGCGCGCCATGGCCATATCACCTTGGCCATCATCTCCGTAACCCCACCCATACTCTATCCAGCAACTCGGGTGCAATGGCTTTTGAACCTATGCTCCCAACACCCACCTCATAACGTGCTTGTGCCTCGCGACCTTGTCGCCAAGGCTCTCCGTGGCCAATTCCTCCCGCACAAGTGCCGCAATCTTATCGTTGGTTCTAGCGCGGAATCCTACCGCCTGCTGGGCTCCGTTGCCCGCTGCGTTGATCTCCGAATCCCCGTCAGCTTGCCGTTTTCGGTTGTGCTGGGATTGGTTCTGAGATGCGATGGCGCGAGGGTTAAAGCCGAGGCCGCGGGTGCCCTTCGGCAGCACGGGCTCAATGGGATCCCGTCGACCCTGTTCGCCTGCGCCCAGCCCAGTCCCTACGCTCCAGCCTGATTTCTTCAGTAACTGGAACCCCACGTTGTCAGCGGGGATATGGCCTTGCCATACTGTGCTCTGGGGAGTTGCCAGGGCCGGGGGAGGGCCGGCATCGGGCACTCCGGGACTAGCCCTTGAGCGGGACCCCCTTGTGCTCAGGACCTCCGCTGGAGTGCTCCGATCTGACGGTGATATGTAGGGTTCTAGAACGTGAACACCACTAGACTTGAAACCCGCGAGGCCGGCCCTGCCAAAGCCATTGAGCAAGTTCATCTACTGTCAATCCGAAAGAATAACTTCGTGTCCTACATTTTCGCGTATTGGTCATCTCACCTCGCTTTGGCTTCGACCGCATCTCTAGATGCAGGATTAGACAGTGCCATCGACCGGACGCCGATTCAGTACTATGTTGTAGCTCGCATGCAAAGCATCTCGAATCACATCTTGAATCACATCCCTAATACAAGTTATACCAAGCTTGACCAAACTTCTGTTTTTTTTAGGATGTAAGCCCTCCACCGTTTATCTGGTGTTTAATGATGCATGATACCAAATATACATGTAATGTTTTGAAGTTAGTTCAATACACGAAGTTGGAGTGCAAATTCTTTGGTGAAAAGGAAGTATTGAACGCACGATGGTTACATCTTGTTGTAACGGAGGGACGAGCAACTGCAGAGCCCGAATCGTGAAGTGGCCACGTCACTATAGACTTGCTTGAATCAGTGACTCCCTCCTACCTGTTTGACAGTTAGGTCTAACTTGAAGTGCCTTCGGAGGCTTCCCTAAGACCACGCCAGCTACTTCGAGGTTTCCGGAGGCGGCAGCTGCTCTCCACCCGACCCGCCCGCAGCACCGTCGTCTGCCTCCACAGTTGCAGCCCTCCGACATTGGTTGCAGACCGCATCACCGCAGCACGAGCATCCGTTTAAAGCTCCCGACGGCCCGCCAGGTAGAGACTTAGGGAAGTCGTCGACAAGACCCTGGAGGTAGTGATACGCTACCAGGGCCTGCCGAAAGCGCTTCCGAAGCGAAGATAGGAACACGCTATCGGGTTTACAGCAACCGTTCTGCTCCCAGTTAGCCACCAGCCTGGCACAGAACTGCTCGGCACTCATGTGCCGCGTCGCAAAGGCCAGGATGTCGAAGAGCTGCAGCAACTTCTGATGCCACCACAACACGTGCGTCCCATCTTTCCGCAGGTGGATATTCATTGAAAACCGTGTGTCCGGGATACAGTCCACCACTGTAGGCCTGATGCCGTATAATGCCTTACATGTTGGGCACCACCCGATTGGCACATTCAGACGAACGGCTTGGTCCCAGAGAAGGATGGTCACAGGGCAGGGCTGTCCTGTTGCTCTGCCGAGATTGCCGCAGGTAGGGCATTGACGTGATGCACATTGGACAGCATCCACCAGTTGCCTGCTCTGGGACGACAGCATAGACTGTCTGAAGTCGGCTGCCGCTCCGAAGTCCTGCAGATATGCCGACGACAGGGCCTCGCTGTAGGGAAGAGAAGACGGTAATGATGGCGCCTGCTCCTCCTCATCGCTGTCCGAAGATGATTTTCTTACGAATGTCGGGCCGTCAACTGCGGGCTGTGGATCAGGCCATTCATTTACGCCTACGTTTGGAACAGAGTGACCAGTCTGTCCGCGTACAGGCATTGTTGTGGTGGCTGGAGTTGCCGCCTGTTGTCCGGCAGGCCGTCCGTCCACTTTTTCTCCAGGCTCCACAGCACGGCGTTTGCGATCCTTTGCATTACGTTCCCACTTGCGTGTAAAGAAAGGAACTTTTCCCATTTCAATGGGCTACGTACGCGACGTAAGTGTACCTTGTTGTATCACACCGACGTGTTTATACTGCTCCCTAGGTATACCCTTATATATTAATATTTTATTTATTCCAATAATGTTTGTTATTATTATGCATTATGTTAATGCATAATAACGTGTTATGCATTAACAGCTCGGTTTGGACGAAGGACGTCAACCTGTTAACCAGGATTCAAACGGCAGTTGGGTGGGGTCGGATAGTATTATGCTACGTGCGCGCGCACTTGCACAGATTTCTTAATGGATCAGGGCATACTATTTTCATATATCAGGGAGGACTCTGCTGCACATTTTCGAAGTGCTCTGCCTATGATTGTATCGGAGAGCCTGCGGACCTTCTCCCGAGAAGGCGTAGAATCCGCGGGACACATCTCCCCAAACGCCCGTCTCCTTAGGGTTTGGGGAGGGCTTCATAACTCTCCACATGTATGCCTCGTGACAAGTAAGAAAGCCCCGCATTCTTACCATACAAATTCCCTGCTTCAATTGGCGATGTGAGGGGCCTTACGATGTGCCTGTTGCAGGCATTCCACGCCATAGATGAGGTGAGTCGGCCACCATGAGTGCCTTGAGCCAAGTGGCCCAGGATCTGAAGAGGGGAGTTTGCAACACCACACAAGCTGTCGACCATATTGGAGATTTCCTGTACAAAGTCATGGTGAGAGCCTTCGGTGCGCACTGCCCTGCTGGCATGAGGTGAGGATACCGTTTGGTGGAACCGGGAATGCCGGCCAACACGGCAGGACGTGGTGGAGTGTAGGGCCCTGATGGGTTTAGGCTGGGTGAGTATTTAGTCGGGTGCCGAATGGGAGGCTTTCTGCCGCGTGCGGACGGAACAACAACCAGGGGAAAGGCATGTGAAGGCAGGCAGCATATGAGGAGGGCAGGATGAGAGCTTTTGTGGCCAAGTGTCATGTCGGCATGATCAACGAGTTTGTGACGGGCTTTGGCAGGGAAGTTGAGAAATGATATTGCGATTTAGGAAATGGATGCCACAACTCCCTTTCTGCTGATCGTTGGCGAGCTCCAGAGCTTGTGGAGCTTGATGGCGTCACCTAGGGCTCCTAAGCATCTGTCTAGCTCGTTCGGGGATGTGTGGCAGAGTGTTGTATGCAACCTTCACATGGCCAACTGTGCGCCATGGCTGCATAGTGATGGAACTTTTAAGAAGTAACCAGTGCCATTGTTTGTTAGGGTTTACACCTAGCTACGAAGTCACGCGTGGTACTGCGGGGACCGTGCTTCAAACAAATCATCGCGGTCAACAATTCAGCCAGAAAGCTTTCCTTAAGAAGCATTGTTACGCGCAGCCTGGAGTAAAAAAGTCGCCCTTTGTAATAGATGGCGTTTATTCGGTGAAGTGCATTAAAACAATACGCTACGCGTAATGTCGGCTTGCCCCAAAGAGGAATTGTCTTAGCCTGTAGTGGTTGCGTTTGAGGGTGCCGCAGCCTATGTTGTGATGAGATTTTGATAATCTGTATGAGCACTGTGAGTCGATGGTGCTGAATCGATTGAAAGCTTACAAGGAGCAAAGGTAATGGATAAGTTGTATTCGTGCACTTAACCTCACTTTACCACGACATGTCGAAAGGCCGTCATTTCACACCCACACCCCCTCTCCCTCCTCTCCCTCCTCTCCCTCCTCTCCCTCCTCTCCCTCCTCTCCCTCCTCTCCCTCCTCTCCCTCCTCTCCCACCTCTCCCTCCTCTCCCTCCTGTCCCACCTCTAGACGCTTCACTTTATATACAACGTTCATATAATACAACGTTCATTATTACTAGTTCTTCTTAGGAATTTCTTCTTTTTACTTGACGCTTCACTTTGCCATTTTTCCGGGTATCACATCCCAGCTGGGATTTGCAGATGTCTGGTCGATTTGACATCTGCAGATGTCTGGTCGATTTGCGTCATGCGAACTTTTGTAACACCCTTATGCTCGGCCACTTCTTCACACTGCACATCTTCCGGACTTCCGCGCTTTGCATTTTACCATATTTTCTCTGTTATTCAATAACACCGCGCCAAGGCACCGAACGCAGCGCCTCGTTTTACGACGTTCGTTCTGGATTGCGCAAAGAGTAACTGTGTCTCAGTCCGAGCATGCTCGTCCATTTCATCCAACATCTAGCCCTATAGGTTCTAGAAGGTGGGCAAGCCAACGTGCATACACGTTAGCTCGGGAAGGGTCATCATGTCGAGGATTAAATTGCAGAAGGTTCTACAACATGAGGCTGCCATGCAATATAGCCTCGTTTTTTGGCCTGCTGGGTATGATTGGCGCGAATCGGATCTTTGCCGATTTTGGCCGAGCGCTATCCAAGATCATCGGAAGCGAAGGGCTCCTCTCCAACCGACGCTTTCCCTCAGCACCAATACAACAAATGGAGGCAACTTCAGCTTTATCTCGTAATAATGATGTCATGACTGGTGTCATGCCACGGAGCATTTGTGGAAGCTGCTCGCAACTCTTTGGCTTCCGTAAAATGTATTGGATGCCACGTGAAGCGGTGCAGCCTCGAGGCTTGTGACCAACAGCCGCAACCCGCCGCGATGACGCCCCGGGCTAAGGGAATTGGACCGACACAGCACCATCCATCCAAACCGACGCATCACCTTGTAGCTTCCCAGGCAGCGGATCGTCGAGCCAGCCGTTAGCTACCATCCTAACAGACGTGCGGTGCTAGATAGGTCGGAGTAGGAAGAGCGCATCGCGTGCGGATGGCGTTAGGATAGCTGACAGAGCAACGGTAAATGAGCAGCACGGACGTCCGTTGGCTGGAACGACTTTTGCACCCCTCGGCACTTTCCTAGCGGACCGCGCCGTTCGAGTGCCAAGATAAAGGCGCGGCTTTCTCATTAGCATGTGCACAGGTTTGGCCGGCACCAAACCTTCAAATGTACATGACGATGATGCACGGCTCTAGTCCACGGCAAGATGCCTCAGCGAAAAGGCGTGGCTGTAATGTTCGCTGCCCACGTTGGGCCTTGGTGGGCCTGGCTTATGGCCATCTGAGGAACGGAGCAAGCGCGCGCTGATATTGCAATATTCAAATGTTGATTGCAATGGTCTTGCTTGTCGTCCAACTGTCATCACCCAGCTGCGTAACCAGCCCCGCAGAGCCCAGAAAGCCCATCGACGGGTTCGGCAGCTGCCAGCTGGGTTTCACCTAGGTTTCTTATGCATTACTTTAAAAAAAAGAGTAAGCATATCAATACTTTAATCCAAAGGAGTGTTTAAAGCATGGGAATCGGCCTCATTGGGGTAACAGCAGCTCCACTTCGAACATGCGCGTAAGGTCTCGTCATTCACAACATAAGCACCGATTTCATCGATCGCTCCATTTTACCAGAGAATATGTCCTTTCAACTCGGTTTGCTCCACCAACGGTTTCGTACGGAAATGCGACATTAGTTTTTACCCAAAACTGCATGGGAAGCGCGTGCGGTCGTTGATTAGGCTTCAAAACAGAGCCGTTAATGCTTGCCTGTAGCTTCCTACTTGGAGGACAGAGAAGCGTTTGCCCAACAAGCGCATGAGGGAGTTACAACAATCAGCTTTATACGAAGGTTAAAAATCCTAATTTTGGACTGTTTTCTGACTTTGGCTGTCTCGAGACTTTAGAAAAACGCTTTAAGCAAGAAGAAAACGGTTCACCAGCACAAGAATGGACCACCCAGTTGCGCGGTCCCTCATCGGCTCAAGTTATACTAACCTCAATAATGGCTCCATTGTGATTCCATCTGACGCGTGCTTCTGCATGGTGGGATTGACGTTTATGTGCTGGGATTTCTCTGGAGAAAACGTAACTGTTATGGCTCTTTCGCTGCTTTGCAGAAATGGCTTAAGTCCAAGGGTTCACCTGTAGCGCTGAAGGTACGCTTCAGCACTAGCAAACGGTATTCGACCCCTTGCGACTTACCAAGTTGATGCCGCTTGCTACGCAGATGGCCAACGCGCTACAGTGGTGAGCTTTGAGATCAAGCGCTATAGCGTTATAAACAAAAGCAAGCATTTATTTCGCGTTCCCGTGTCTCCTTATGGCGGGCCGAAGGGCTGCGGACGTGGGACCTGGCTTAGACTGCATGCCGCCGCAAAAGAAGGGTTAAAGAGGAAATATGAAAGGATTAATAGAATACAACCACAGGCTATAATTAGCGCAAGTGCAAGTCTTCGGTTTCGCAAGCAGGCGCGCTTGGCTTGTCTTGACTTGCGCGGTTACGCTGCCTGATGTAGCTTTCCACTTCACCTGGTAACTCGTATACAGTCCTTAAGTTGTTAATTTTCGTATCTACTTACAGCGTCCCTAGAAACTCTTCAGCTGCCTGCTTGACTTCCGACAGGGCGGCCTTCGCTTTGTCGGTCATAATCCTCATCTACTATGCATACGCGACCTGGAGAACCACCTGCGGCTGGGAGGAGGTATATGTGTGCTGCGTCGAGGTACGTTTTGTGCGCGCGCACTCCATGATCCGGGTTGCCCCGTCGTCTCGAGTTACCGATATACCTGCCTTTCCATGCGCCTGCCTTTCGGGCGTGTAACACACACGAACAGCGAACACCTATTAACGGGTGGTGTCACCCACCCTCATCTCATAGCGCCTGATCGGGCCCCCTACCTGCCGCCCTCCAACCTCTCCTCTCCTCTCCTCTCCCCTCCTCCTCTGTTCTGTAGTTGACCAAGGTCGTGATCGAGTTCTTCCACGTAAGTTCCCGTTTCGGTTACTGTTCCGGTTGCGGTTTCTGTTGTCGTTGCGATGGTTATGGTTGTGGGCAGTTGTCGTTCTGGCTCTAGTCGTTATGGGTCCGGTGGTAACTTCAACGTGCCCGTGCGGTGGCGATGCTGGCGGTGGTGGGGACGGCGGCGGCAGCGGCGGTGAGCAAGGGGAAGCGTGAGCTGGCGTGTTCCCTTTCCTGCAACCTCTTTTGCCGTCTTGCATGTGCCTATGCCTGTGCCTGTGCCCGTGCTGCGTGTCCGGCGGGTTTGGACTCCTTTCCTGAAAAATAACTCCTTTTCTGATAACTTGGTGGGAGATGACGAGGGCATAACTTGGTGGGAGATGCCGAGGGCTCCGGGCGCCATCCACCTGTGTTCGGCGCACACTCACTGTCCGGGTCCCTCACCCTGCAGGAGTTTGACGAGCCCGGCATGCTGTACCTTGCGAACGGCAACCGAGTGCTGTGGCTGCGGTACGGCGAGTGGTTGCTGACCTGCCCCGTAAGTGACGTGATGAAATGGACCTGGGTCTGGCGAAGAGGTGAACGTTTGTTGAATGTACGGAAATCCCCCTTCGTACACCTCCTCCATCTGACATTAAACGCATGCATGTAATGCGTACATGTGCCGTGTGCGTCTACCCCCCCCCCCCCGCGCTGTGTTTCGGCCCTGGGTCCCCGACTTCTCAACCTACAGCGTAACCAACGATATACATACATACACATACATACATACACACCGACGGCAATCCCAATACATTTAGTGCTTTACTGAACCTGCATTTTGATGTGGGGACGTGCTTCCTTTTATACTTCTAAGTAGCACACAGACATACACAGACATACACACACATACACACACTCGCACAGGGTTTCCCGGGGGTTGCCTGTTATATCACGACTTCAGAAAAGTACCGATCGGCAGATGCAGATCCCGTGATTTGCCCTCCGGGATACTACATCCTCCCTGGATTATGGGTCACGGCGGTGAAGTCCGCTGTGCATGTGTAACGCCAGCCTGTGATACGGAACGTACATACATACATACGTACATATACGCATACACGCGTGCGCGCAGGTCATTCTCATCCACTTGTCCAATTTGACTGGCCTCAAGGACGACTACAACAAGCGGACCATGCGGTTGCTTGTCTCCGATGTCGGCACCATCGTGTGGGGTGCTACTGCGGCCATGTCCACTGGCTACATAAAAGTGCGCATTGGGTTGGTTGGCGGTTGGTTGGTTGGTTGGTTGGTTGGTTGGCGGTTGGCGGTTGAAGTGATGCATAAGAGTGGACACTGGGTTGCTTGGGCGGATCGATGTGTCGCTCTGTCGGAGGTACTCCATTGCGTTGATAAGGTGGGGGGGGTAGGGGGTTAGGGGGCCGGAAGGAAAGGGTTGTGTGACCCACCTGGCGCAGAGAGTGCTACTCACGCGCTGCAATGTCCTCCCACGCGCAGTAACACAGGGAGGGAACACAACGGGCAAAAATCTCCTTTCCTTAGAATCGCTTCACCGCCATCCCCCACTGCATTACCCCACTCGGCTGCCTGCCCAGCCTCTCCCGTCTTCTCCGAAACCAAACCCATGCGTACATTATCAAGTCACGGTGTCCTCCGTGTGCTGGCTCGCATATACGCACTCCACTAATCCCTCGGGCCCCGAATTCCCCCGACTTCACCATCACCATCACCATCACCATCACCATCACCACCATCCTTACCACACAACCTGTCCCGCGTGGGGCCTCTCTTTCAGGTGATTTTCTTCCTCCTCGGTTGCATGTACGGCGCAAACACATTCTTCCACGCCGCCAAGGTGGGGCTGGGGGGGGGGCCCGGGGGCCGCGGGGACCGCCCTCCACCTCTCGCAGTCGCTCCTGCGTGTGCCAGTGCCAGTTTGTGTCCGCGTGCAGTCGCGTCGGCGGGAGGTAACGCCCTGGTTGGATTGCGCGAAACCGCGAAAACCCAAAGCCCCAAACCGCAATCCCGTCTGATTGAGAATCCCCCGGTCGGGGGTCGGGACGTCGTTCCTCCCAACAAGTCGATACCGGCGGGTTCATAGCAACTCAAATACCTCCTACTACAACTAAAAGTGGCAAGTCGATGGGTGCCACTACCATCGGCAACGCCACTAACGCCAATCATGTGCATATTCGGTATGAAAGCATGCCCCATGATTATCCCCCTGCTCACCAACGCATGGCGATTATACGGCATGTACGAAAGCAGACAGCCTCTAAGTCCCCGTGTTTTGTTTGCACACATATCTCTCTTTAAACCTTTGTGGCGCTGACGTGCTCACAGTACGGCATGTGTATCTGCCCCTGCATAACCCCTGCAGGTGTATATTGAGTCGTACCACACCGTCCCCAAGGGTCTGTGTCGTCAGCTGGTCCGCGCCATGGCCTGGCTGTTCTTCGTGTCATGGGGGATGTTTCCCGTACTGTTCCTGTTGGGGCCCGAGGGCTTCGGACATCTGAGCGTCTACGGCGAGTCGGGGGAGGTGGCCTGGGGGGGAGAGGGGTTAAGGAGGGGGGGGAGAGGGGGGAAGGAGGAGAGGAGGAGGAGGGAGAGGAGGAGGGGGAGGGGAGGAGGGGGAGGGGAGATACATGCATGATTCCCGTCTTATGGACACTGGCAGCCAGACAGATTGACGGACTGACGGAACTGAGTGCTCCCTTGATGCCGCTACAGGGTCAACAATCGGTCACACCATTATCGACCTTCTCTCCAAGAACTGCTGGGGTCTGCTGGGCCACTTCCTCCGCCTGAAGGTACGACGCAAGAGTACGGCATTGTGGGCTCATGGTCCCATGGGTCGGTCGCTCAGCCGCAGTTTGTCACTCGCAGTCCACATCTTCACGTCGCATCCACACCAGTTCTCCGTAGCCAAATTGTTGTCAACACACTGACCCACTGACCCACGGGTCGGTCCCCTCTTCCCGGTCCTTCTCCCCACGGCTCCCCGCCGCCCGCCGCCATCTTCGTATCGCTGCTGTCCTCCTCGGATCTCCGCTACTCGCAGATTCACGAGCACATTCTGCTGTATGGTAAGCGACTTACGGGACGGCGCTTGGGGAGTTGGTCGGGTGGCCGCCTGCTGCGATAGGCCATCACACACACCACTATAGCATAGCAGAGAGTGTGCGATCGCCTAGCGCATGTCCTGAATTGTCTCTATATTGTTTTTTTGGACTATAATATAGTCCACGTAAACAATATTGGACAATCTCAGTCTCAGTGGCGCCATTGTGGCCTCTGTTGGCAGGGTGGCCGCCAGCCACTGCGAGCGTGAGAGCGTGAGGGGGTCCAGGTCCAGGGCCAGGGCGGTCTTTGTTCATCGGGGGGTTTCTCCCCCTCGTCATGGGTACACCGTGTGTGTGTATTTCCCAACCCCGTTGTGGGCGCTGATCGCGTCACGCGTGTCATTGCACATTTCTCCCTGCAGTGTTTTGTCTTGCCTGCTTGCACCTGTTCCCTCTCGATCTCGTTCATCATTGTCGCTGTCGGTCACCGGCGGTCACCACTGCGAAGGGATCCGTGGATTCGTGTGCCCGCCCGCCCGCCTGCCCGCCCGCGTCGGGTTTTGCTTCCAGTGCATCACCCGCTAGCTGACATGTTCGCATTCGAGAGGTGCTGCATTCGGACTTCTCTTGCTTCTACCAGGGCTACCACTGTCGTTGCCAACACGTTGTCGCCATCACGTTACCCACCCATTTCTTCACATACGTGTAACTGCATGCCCCACCTATCCATCCACACGCCACCCTTTTCCTCTCCTTCGCCCCTACCTCTCCCGATCCTTTTCCCGCACCTTTCATCCCCCACCTCGCACCCCTCCCGCTCTCCCTCCCCCTGGCCCTCCCAAGGCGATATCCGCAAGGTTCAGAAGATCAGGGTGGCCGGTGAGGAGCTGGAGGTGGAGACCCTCATGACGGAGGAGGCCCCCGACACCGTCAAGAAGTCCACTGCGCAGTACGCCAACAGGGAGTCCTTCTTGACCATGCGTGATAAGTGAGTGTACGGCAGCGCTGGATGCTCCGGGCCCTGTTGTGTGCTGCTGCTGCTGCTGGGGCTGCTGGAGATGAAACCAGTGCGCTGTTTGTTTGGCGACCTAGTGCTCTTTGCTTTGCTATGCTTTGCTATGCTGTGGGCGTGTGGCCATAGAGGGCGCCCTACCCAACACCCCCCTAACATCACATCCTACCCTCTTGGCCCCCCCATCAATGTTCCCATGCTCTCCCCGGCCCCACTGTTAACTTACAGGCTCAAGGAGAAGGGTTTCGAAGTGCGTGCTTCGCTGGATAACAGCGGCATAGACGCCGTTATCAACCACAACAACAACTACAATAACGCCCTAGCAAACGCCGCAGCAGCAGTCGGCAAGCCGGGCATGGAGCTCTCTAAGCTCGACCACGTCGCCGCCAACGCCGCCGGCATGGGCGGCATCGCGGACCATGTTGCCACCACCTCGGGCGCCATCTCCCCCGGCCGCGTCATCCTAGCCGTACCTGATATTTCCATGGTGGACTATTTCAGGGAGCAGTTTGCGCAGCTGCCGGTGCAGTACGAAGTCGTACCCGCGCTCGGCGCCGACAATGCCGTACAGCTTGTTGTACAGGCTGCTGGGCTGGGCGGCTGCGACTTTGTACTCCTACATCCGGAGTTTCTCCGTGACAAGTCTTCCACCAGCTTGCCTGCTCGGCTGCGGTCCATAGGGCAGCGTGTGGCAGCATTCGGCTGGTCCCCCGTTGGCCCTGTGCGTGATCTCATTGAATCCGCTGGCCTGGATGGCTGGCTGGAGGGGCCCAGTTTTGGATTGGGCATTAGCCTGCCCAACCTTGCAAGCCTGGTCCTGCGGATGCAGCATGCGCGCAAGATGGCGGCGATGTTGGGCGGCATGGGTGGCATGCTCGGCAGCAACTTGATGTCTGGCAGTGGTGGCGTTGGGCTGATGGGCGCGGGCTCCCCGGGAGGCGGCGGCGGCGCGATGGGCGTGGGGATGACGGGCATGGGCATGGTGGGCACTAATGCCATGGGGCGCGGCGCTGTCGGCAACAGTGTGGCGAATGCCTCGATGGGAGGTGGTTCGGCCGGCATGGGCATGGGGATGATGGGCATGGTGGGCGCTGGCGTTGGAGGACAGCAGCAAATGGGCGCGAACGGTGGGTGTGGGGACTGTGTCCGCGTGTGTGGGGGGGCCGGGGGGGGGATGAGGGGCTTGGGAGGGTTTGGGTGCTGGGTCACCTCGGGGAGTTCTCGGGTAACGGAAAAGGAAAAAGCGTTCCTTTGATTGTGGGACGTTGAAAGGTCAAAAAGGGGAAACCCGCAACCTGGCCTCACGCGCCCGGGCTGGCCGTTGCGTGCTTGTACGGTCAAAAGTTGAGTCTGTGTGTACGATATACCTGTGTACGAGTATATCCACTTGGGGAAGAAGGAGAATAAGGAGGAGAAGAAGAAGAAGAAGGAGAGGAAGAAGAAGACAAATAGGAGAAGCAAGGGAGGGCGAACCAAATCCGCAACCTTTAAATTTACCGAAGGAATGGACCCAGGCGGGCGGGCGGGCTGGTTGGGCGGGGTGTGTTGGGAATGCTGTTGATGTGCGCGCAGCACCACCACGTTTTGGGCCCCCCCCTCGTTCGTGGTTCGTCCTCCCCCCTTTCGTCCGTGCGTCAAACACATACACCGGCGTCCCCTTAGGGATTTCTAAGTCCCTGGCCCACCTCGCTCTTCCCTACCTTTGAAGTTGTTCCCCTCCAAACCGCATCTCCCGTCGCATCTATCTGTCTGTCTGTCTGTCCGTTCGTCTGTCCGTCTGCCTGTACGTCTCCAACGCCCTAGGTTCTGTACCCATCTCGTCATGGAGACTCTTCCCCTCTTTTCATCATACGTACTGTTTGCATGTCTTGCATATCATTCCCTTCCTCACGCATGCATATCCACATCTACATACAAATTCCTTCCCCCCCACCCCACCCCCCGTCCTCCGTACTGCTGGATGTGCAGGCATGGGCCCTACGTCTTTCCAGTTGGGCAGCAACCCGCTGTACAACACCGCGCCATCGCCGCTGAGCTCCCAGCCCGGAGGCGACGCTTCCGCCGCCGCCGCCGCTGCCGCCGCCGCGGCGGCTACCGGAGCAGCCAGCAACAGCATGAACGCCATGCAGGCCGGCGGCTCCGTGCGCAACTCTGGCATCCTGGCGGGCGGTTTGGGAAGCATGATGGGGCCCCCGGGGGCGCCTGCTGCGCCGACAGCGGCAGCGACGGCGGCGCCCGCCGTGACCATGGGGGCACCTGGCGGCGGCGGCGCCGCCGCTTCTGAGGCTGAGATGCTTCAGCAACTGATGGCGGAGATTAACCGCTTGAAGAGCGAGTTGGGCGAGTGAGCTCGCGGCCGGGTGAGAGTGGAGTGGAATGGAGTGGAATGGAGTGGAATGGAGTGGAATGGAGTGGAATGGAGTGGAATGGAGTGGAATGGAGTGGTACACGCTTGGTGGGACATCCGGTCCTCTGCGTAGAGGGCACGGGTGTTTTGAGGAACTTGCACATGGTTTGGGCGTCTTGCTGGAATCTGGGCGCAACGCGGCATTGGATGCACCTCAGCTAGGTGCTCGGTCGGTGGTACGACATACGGCATTTATTATGGAACGGTCCGGTCGGCAGTCCGTCGGGGGTTTCATTGGTTTCGGAGGTGGGGCCCGCCATTGCGTCTAATCCCACATATATACATATGCATTTTGTACCTTTCTGAGTTGCATCACGCTACATAAATATATAATGGCAGCTTGGAGGAGGAGGAGGAGGAGGAGGAGGAGGAAGAGGAGGAGGAGGAGGAGGAGGACTCCCAAACGTGCGCCGCTTCCCTCTCCATGTCGCCAATCATGATTAGAGCCTTTTGTTTGGGCCCGAGTGGGTTCTGTCCGATTAGGATCTCGCCCAGTGTGCCGGGGGTTCGGTGTGTCGGGGGGAGGGGGGGGGGGAAAATCCGAAGAGGTCTGAGACTGCTGTATATGTGTAAGGGGCTTGCGAAGGGACACCCCAAGGAAGTGGCGACGAGGTATGAAGCTCCGTCGCGGATGTAGAGGTTGGGCGGTACTGTATGAATTACAGTTGTCCGCAGTTGGGCCAGGGGGCGGCATTCGCGTGTGCTCGGGTCGCGTGTCGCGTGTCCCCCCCGGGCATTGATTACTTCAAATCGCATCATGTGTTCATACCTCCCACACAAACCACCGGCTCCCACATCATGGCATCGCAGGGGATCGTTAGCTAGTAGTAGGGTGAGAAGGGGCCCCGCACGGCCATCTGCTGTTTGGCGGGGAGGCGATTCGAGAGCTTCAGCAGCGTCCTTTGTGTATGAGAGATGTGTCCTGCAGAGTGTCTAGATGCGTTTCCATACAACTTACAAATAAGTCGATCGCGTCTCGACACGAAAAAAAGCTGCCTTTGCAGCATGACCTCTTTTTGCTGCTGCTGCGGATGGTGGTGTGTGGTCCTGGTGGTGAAGAAGGGAGGAGGAGGTGTAGTAGGAGGATAGCACCAAGAAGAGGGGACGAAGAGAGTCAGGGCCATGATGCAGCGGCGGGAGAGTGCAGAGGGCGCAATAAATGGCCCACATGGTCCCACGGCGCAACCGCCAATGGGACCCTTGGTCCAGGGAGGGCAGGGAGCGGTCCTGTCAGAGCGACCGGAGGAACGGATGGCGGTGGCTGCCCGATGGACCTCCACCACTTTGATCAGTCTACCTATCTACCTATTTGGCGGAGGGCTCCAGGGCGGGCCGTTGCTGCGGGTCAGTATACTAAACGCCGCCGCCGTGGTCACCGCCGTGGTCACCGCCGTGGCCGCCGCGGCCGCCGCTGCTGCTGCTTCTATCTGCGGGACAAGTACTCGTGGTAGCTGAGATCCCGAGGGGCGGCCATCGTTTCAGCGCCGCCGTACACCGCTCCTGCACTTGACGGACAGGGTAGCCTCCTGCATAAGTATGTGTGCGCATGTATGTATGTTTGTATCAGAAGGAAGCATCATCCCCCCGGTCTTTGCGTGTATGCGTGTCTGGATGTTTTCTAGTCCTGTTAGGTAGGTTCCCGCGTGTGGGTGTGTACGGGTGTGTACGGTCGGAGGCAGGGCCGAAGATGTGGGACTTGCGGCCGAGGCCGCGAGCACACACGAGCACACGTGACTCGCTGCTGCTGCTAACGACCGCTCACGGCACGTGCGCGACTGCGACTGCTGACGAGGAAAGAGTGCGTTCGTTGTTCATGCGTTGTTCATGCGTTCGTTGTGCAGTGCCTGGCCGGCTTGGCATTTCGGCGTCCTTGCTGGCCTATGGAATGGTCGGGGAGACGGGTGTGGGGTATTCACCCCGTCGTACGTCGCGTCAGTGGGGGGGATGTTTTAAGGTTGTGTGTGAGTGGCGAGGGGCCAATGGTGAGAGTATGGGCGGTGGACTTGGCCCCAGTTGATCGCTCCAGCGCGGTTGCGGATTCCGGAGATCTTCATGGACAGGGGAGAGCCACATTTTGGTGGTGATCTGAAGTCAGCTGTTGGGCATTTTTTACCGCTGCAGGACTTGCAGAACGGACGTGCATGGCCCCAGGTGTATCGCAAGCGCCGTGTACAAGGTGCACTTGCGCCTTGTGTATACTTGATTGAATCAATCCAGGAAACGTGTCTTTGGGAGCGCGCAAGTGCGGGGCGTGTGGAAATTCGAGCTGGCGTGGGTGGGTCTCGTGGATCCCCTGGATGGCCGGGATGCCGTTGTTAGGGTGCGCTGTTCTGTGGATGCCAGCAGTAAGGGTGCGCCCGCGGATTGCGGTTGTTGTTTGCGGTTGTTGAATCGTGCGTGGAAGAGAGCGCAAGAATGCCTAAGAAGGCAGATTGTGGTGCATCGTGGCGAGTGAACTTTTCCTCATTGTAGGTTTTGGAGGGTATTGGCAACCTGGGCTGATTAGGGTTTCGCGGTGGGCTATGAAATGGTTGAGAGGAGGGAAACGTCGCGAAAACAGAAGCGAACATTTGAAGAGGCTTTTGAAGGGCGAAGATCTCCGAATTCTGCAAATGCAAAAAATGCAAGGCGAGTGTGCAACCCTCTGGGTTTCTGGAGACGTGAACGAAATCATTGTGAAGCCCGGTTTTTGAAGACCGGTTTGAAGCCCGGTTTTTGACAGACAGGTTCTGAATCATCATAATCCCTTACCAGGGGCTTGCAGCTACTGATGTCTATTGGTCTCCTGGGTGCTCTTGGAGTGAGTTGAAGCTTCGTTTGACGTGCGGACACTTTCCTTTTGCTACTGCTACATCAGCTAATGCCGCTTCTCCTGCCGCTTCTCCTGCTACTGCTGCTGCTGCTGCTGCTACAGCTGCGGCAGCGGCGGCTGTCGAGAAGTATCTGGCTGAGCATCCGGGGTTGGATGATCGATGATAGGCAGTAGCGCTTCCATTACGTATGAGCTGGTGAATGCACAGAACGGAGGATGGGGGGAGGGCAATGGCTTACAGAAGGTAACTTGACAAGGAGAGAAAAGTGGCAGCTAGTATGAGGGGCATGTATTTCATCCGCAGCGACTTTTGTTACCTCCATTTCTGTCTATTACACAAGCGTACGACATGTCTGTGATGTCCCCCCGGGCTATCAGTGGCGTGCGAGCGGTGCCGTACGGACGTTCTATGGCTTACTTTGGCATTGTACGACTCCGTGTTGCCGATGCTGTTGGCAGTTTACGCTACGGCATTTTCCAGGCTCACAGCAAAAGTCGGTGTAAAATATTAAAAAAGTTCGCGGTTTACAGACCTAATGGAGCTGGCTTGGTTGCGGCCCATGCTCATGGTAACGTTAGGTGGTCCTACGAGCGCCCTGCAAGGTGGACTTATGGCATTGGGGGTATTTATGTTGGCAGGAAACATAGCGTTGTGTCGAATTCTGGCGGCGAGATAAGCATTATGAGATAAGCATAATGCAAAAGGGGTATCGGCTGAATGGAAATGGCAATCATTTGCCATTCATCGCAAATCGCACTGCGGAGTGTGGGGGTTGTGCCACTTGTTGTGATTTTCCAGAGCTGGGTGGTGGACGTAGATATGGATTGTGCTTCTTCAACTTGATTGTATTGTGCCATCCCTCCCTCGATCATTCGCCATTCCTCCTCTCGCCACAAAGAGTCCGCAGAGGGAGGGGAGGGAACATCGAAGCGGGATGTCGGATACTTTTCGTCTGTTTCTTTATTTACACACTGCCACATGCTTTGGTTGGTGCTTTCAGCCTAATCGACGGCCTAGGAGCGTGCATGTGCTTGCGGGTGCGTACACATGCGCCCCACAACGCTCCCCGTGGCATCGACCCCCTGGCCCTAGGATGGTGAAGTCCGGTATAATGGCTTTTTCGGCGGATTGATTTGCACCTAAATAGTGACTATCCCATTTGTGTGCATATATGTATGTATGTGCGCGTGCGTGCGTGCGTGCGTATGTACGTATGTATGTGTATTATTATATGGATGGGGGGTAGAGATGCGTAGCGATGCGTCTTTCTTCCCCATGTCACTGTCTTACACACTCCAGCGATACGAGCGGAGGCGGCTCTTTTGGCAGGCGTATCCGATAGTTCTTATTGTAACCGGCGGCTTTGCAGCTCCGAAACCTCCTGGCTGACATTTTATACCATCAGATGTGAGGTGCGGTGCTGAGGTGAGTTGTCGACGTAAGGGTATGCGTGAGCGGCTCTATGAGTACTTCCCAGGCTGCTAGGCTGCAGCCTAGTTGTGTGGGTTGGCCACCGAGATGGTGGGACGCGTCTGCGGCAGGAAATGGCCATTTTGATTCTCAAGCAGGTTGGAGGTTGGTGGGCTCACGGTGGAGGGAGCGAGCGAGGGTTCATCACACGTACACCCGCGCTTTGGTGGTATTTTGCTTTTGGTGGTATTGCGCGCGGTAGGGCAAAACATATACTGCGACCCCATGCATCCCCCGGGTTTTTGCGCCTGGCTGGATGGGGCCCCCAATACTCCCGCGCCGTACTCGCGTGCCTGCTGCCCGGAAGAAAAAATTCTCCGCTCGACATCTGCCTGGCTGGTTGCCGGCTAGCTGGCTGTTGGATGGCCGGCTAGCATCTTTGGCACATGCGGCGGCAAGGGGGCCACCTGATGCAACAGAATGCCCGTGTCCGCGTCGTGTTTTGAGCAGCAGCTGCTGCTACTGCTACCGCCACTGTCAGTGCTACTGCTACTGCTACTGCTACCGCCATTGTTGTTGCTGCTGCTACCGCCATTGCCACTGCTACTGCATGGGCTATGGGAAAGCGATTTACCTGCCGAGTGTTACGTTTGTGTGCGATTTGTGGTGGCGGGGGCACCCCGCCCCACGGGTGCCGTACGCAAGCGTGTGTCCCTGCTGGCTTTCCTAATAGGACCTACCGCCTGACGGTGAGCGCATGTACTTGCGTGTGTGTACGGCATTGCGTTGACAGTTTACATTGGGACCTTACCACCATATCATATCAATGTTGAAGGCCCTTTCCCGTGTTGTGGAGCGAGCGGGGGCCCCGGGGCCTCTTGTGGTGTTGTTCGCGCCCCAGTCCTTAGGTGTGTGTGTATATATAGCCTAATCAGGAGTTGCCGGCCTTACGGCGACCGCGACTGAGGTTTGCTAATGGCGTGCATGGGTGCGCCTCCATATGTTTGTCTGTCAGCCTGCTTATTAGCACGCCTATCCACCTATGCAGCATGTATCCGTAAAGCTGCCTATCTGTGTGTGGTTGTTACAGTATCTGGGTATATATAATGTGTGTGATATATATTACACCATCAATTCGTCTGTCTGTCTGTCTGTATTTATGTATGTCTATCTGTATGTGTATATGTATGCGCCCCGCAATTGAGAGTGGTGTGTTTTGGTCGTCGGTACTGATTCTGACCTTTGACAGGTCCGGTGCATGTGGGAGATCCGTGCAAAACACTCCGTGCATTCCCATTCCATTCCCGGTTTGTTGAGGACGGATGCGGCAGCAGGTGGTAAGGAAGTGCAAGATGTGCTGATGGCTAATCGTATCCTAGCATCTGGTTTCGGATATCCCTGCGCTAGCTGCTGTGATGGGGGAGAGCATCATGAGCATGCAACCACTTTGGCGCGGCAGGTCTTGACCGTATATATGTACGTTGTGCCTGCCTGCAATGCACAGCTTAGCTTCCCGAAATTACGGAGTTGGTTTACCGCCGCTGGCTGAGGTAGGAAGGAATATGGTTTTGTGGAGGCGTGCGTGCGGAGGAGGAAGCTCTGCGCTGTCCGGCGTGCTTTTGCTTTTTGCTTTCTTACAGTATGCGCAGACTACAGCTATAGGTGTGTGCTTCTAGCAGATGCACTATCCTGCCGTGGGCTTTACTGATCCTCATTGCTGACCTCAGGGTATTCGTATGATGGATGAAGCGCGTGTCAGCCGTTATTGCGTTTATAAGTGTTGTAAAGTTAGGGTTTTTTTATTGCTAGTTGCCGTACTCGTCATAATGCTAATGCCTCAGTCCTGTGCGAGGTTCATCCTACCGAGTCCATGCGGACTGAGACCTGGTGGGGCAGTTTGTGAACAATCGTTCACAGCGGATCTACAACAACAACGGGTCGCGTGCCGCGGTCCTAGTAACACCTCCCCCGTGCAACAACACAGCTGAGGCCGACCCGCCTGTGCTACCGGCGTAATATACCTGCACCGCGTAGTATACCTGATTTGGAATGCTTTGTGGCGCGGTCTGTTTCGCTTCTTCAGTGGACGAGGGTAACCGTCGGAGGAGGTGTTTTCCGTTGATGTGTTTGGCGGGGAAGGGGTGTGACGGCAGGATCTCCGCCCCCGCCTTACCTAACTGCCCTTCCCTTTCGTAGCAAACCGTGCACCTTTGTAAGATAAGACACAGAATACTCCGTGGCCAGCTAGCAAGCAGCATTATTTCTACCGTGAATCTCTGACCGGTATGAACCTTACACATACATGAAACTTGGTGCGTTTTGGATATGTATATAGATACGTGTCTGATCCCCCCAGATGCCGTACACATGCTATTTTTACATCGGCGCCGGAATGCCCAAATAAAACGGGGATTCCGTTCACTCCGTACGTGGCTGCGCAAATGAAAACAGGTTCATGGTTTTCTAGAGCGCAGTTGCCAATAATAGCACGGACTTTTTGGCGAGTGCGCGCCCTTACTTGGAGACGCACAAGATGCCGCCTTAATGCTAGCTGGAACCTGTTGGAGATAAATTCCGATAAAGATTTTGTCGCCGATTTCCGCCGGCAGAAAGGGCGGCCGGCGCGGCCCGCCGGCAAGTGTCGCGATCGCAATGTTCCTGTTAAGGCAATGACACGGACAACTTCTTCAGCGCTGAGTATAAAACAGAAACCGCTCCGGTACTTCCCGCCCGACAGCAGAGGTCGCCGCAAGTACGTCGCCTCGTCGCAGCGTCGGACTGACGCCCGGCCGGGCGTCCCAGTTGAAACCAACCAAATAAAGCAGGGCCGCTAAAAACAGCAATAGCCGCAACAGCCACGCCGCCTTCTGTCGATCGAGGGTCGTATCAATTCTTTCTAGCTGCTAAGAATAAGTTTTCTGTTTTCGTTGTCTGTCCGCTTTGTTGTGTATGTGCGTGTGTGCGGTATTTTGTTGTGTTTCCTGGCAGTTGTTTCATCAGTCTGTTCGCGTTTTGAAGCGAGACCGCCCTGCTACGGGGCGCGAACACTTACAGGCGCAACCACCCACAACGAAAGAGCGAGGGCTCACACCTAACTAACTAACTAACTAACTAGCTCCCAGAAATGGAAGTGCAAATTGGTAAAAGGGGAGAACGCCTTGCACCGGTGCTGCCCGGGTGGTACCAACCGGGCCCGCCGCGGCAACCCGAAAGCGAGCGACAGCACGCGCGCGTAGGCCAAAAGCGACCTATTTTGTCTATTTGCATCGTTCTATCATTTTTGCAGCAGGGGACGGTCGACCTGTCGTGGTCACCAGGGCTCTTATTTGTGATTTTGCCAGCCTGAAGCGCGCGTTATCAAATAACAAGGCAGGCGGCTGGCAGAAGGGGTGGCCTTCGTGGCCTTCGTGGCCTTCGTGGCCTTCGTGGCCGTAGCAGCCCTATCGACCCAGCTAGGGCCCCCACTGGCATCACAACGAATGTCAAGAGAACCAATGTTGAGGCATTCCGAGCAAGACATGCAGGGGTTGGAGCAAGGAAAGGCACAGCACTAGCCTACTGCTGTTCCGTACTGAAACTTCCGTATGAAACGGAGTTCCGTAGCTGATAAAAGTAAAGGTTCACAGTGCCGTGACATCCCCAAGGGCCATGCTCTTCGGTCACAGCGCTTGTATTTCAATGTAAAACTCCCCTAATTCTTCGTCGCGCCCGCCAATATTTCGCAACAGGATCAGGGTTCGGGTTCAGGGAGGGCTAGCAGAGGTTCTTCTGGCGTTCAATACCTGCACCGCAGCTTTAATCCTGTCAGATGACATCATCCACTGCCTCCTCATTGCATACGGTTGGGGAAGCTGGGAGACCGCTGAGTCGACCTCTCACGGCCTTGAGGTGCCAAAATCTTGACTATACTTTCTAGGCAACGGCGCTACGGCGTATATTGGCGCGTATATCACGCGTCCCATGTGATAAGCAGAGGTGTGGCGCAGGCCAATTTTAAAACTGGCCAGCAGAGCAGGGTCGGGAATAGAACTGTTTTGGGGAATAGAACTGTTTTGAGATAACTCCTGGTGCTGGTTTGGGTGTTTTACTAAGGCAAGGTAAGAGATGGAGACGGCCGATGGTCGGCCTGGGACGAACGAAGTGCCGGACGAACAGATGAACACCATGAGTAAATCCAAGGCCGAGTTTGTAAAATCCATGTTGCAATTGGAATCCGTTCTGTAAAGCTCAAAGGTTTGGTTATCACAAAATGAAAAATTTTGAATTACAGGGTGTTTCCACTTGGCCGCACACTAACAGGGTGTTTCCACTTGTCCTAACACTATCTTCGGTACACTATGTGCTAGTGTGGACTTAGTGTGACGGTGTTTCCACTAGCGGCACTAAGGAGCGCCGAAACCAAAATTGTTTTCGTATTTTGAACGTTTTAGCGCCAGGGATTAATTGCTGATAATTGCCAAGGTCTGTAAGAATTCGCGTATTTAAGATCCGCTGCGGCGCAGCCTGCGTCATGATGTCCGCCATGAAGTCCGCATGGTGCATTGGCAACCGCCGGCCAGCGAAGGAAGGCAAACTAGCGGTATATGTTTGCTGAACGTTATTGAAGGAGGGCTCCATTGCAAAATGGCGGTGTTCTGAGGCTGTCGGTGTTGGGCGTGCGCAAGTCAACGCGGCGTTTGCAGGAAGGAAAAAAGATAGCTGCTTACGTCTAAAGTCTATGGTCAGAAGGGACAATCCAGCTCATAAAAGTTGCCCGCCAAATAGTTAGTGCTAGGTACTATAGTTAATGGCAGGTGTGCGCTAGTGTGGACTTAGTGTACGGGGTGTTTCCACTAGGCCTTACGGTTCTCCGCCAGGAGTGCCCCAACCTCCAATTTGTTTGATGAATATTTCCTACTATCATTAGTAGTATCAATATATGCATTTAGAACGGCGAGAGACGAGTCCAGGACGAAGAACATTCAAACTTAGTGTTAGTGTTCGGCCAAGTGGAAACACCCTGTAACTTTTGAACATTATCTAAAATGTGGACTTAGTGTGTGGCTAGTGGACAGGTGTTTCCACTAAGCGCCCCGGAACCATACGACAGGTTGCTATAAAGGCACCAAACGATTGTTATAGTAAGGGTGGGTGTTATTTAATGCGCAAATCGTTACAGCTTGGTCGGCTAATTGGTGGAATGTGGGCAATTCGACAGGTCCTGCTGTGAATTCCACTGGTTAGCGGGCTATTTGCGGCTGTGGATAAAGGAAACTAATGTAAGTGTGCGGCCAAGTGGAAACACCCTGTTGAAGTTAAGCGCCTGCAGGCATCGGGATGGAACCAAGGTTTTTAGTAGAGTGCTACTGAACCGTTTGTCATGGGTTATTTAATATGCTCATTCCAAATGACATTTCGATGGCAGGCAGGGTGTCGATGAAGGTGGGCGTAACTGTTTGCGTAATTGGGATGGCGGCTCTTAGGACCATGGAAGGATCAATGAATAACCTGAGCGGTAAGACGTTGGCTGAATAATAAAGGGTTTGCGTTAATTTTTCAGTTTGAAAATATAATGGTTACCGTATAACGCTGCTTCTGTTGCAGGCAAGGGTGGGCGCATAAGGAAATGAGGAGAGGAAGCTTCTGGTGCAACCCCATATTCTGTCGTATAATGAATTGAGGCGCTTTTGTTAGGTGACAACCGCAGGAAGGGACTTCTTTTGCCTCCTGGGACATCTTGCGAACTCCGACAGGCTCCGACTCGTAGGACATAAGATGTGCGTAAGATGTACGAAGGAGCCGCGCTGCAACATCCATTTTATTACGGTTATCTACAAGGGTGATTAAGCATAACGATTAGCTGGATGATGCAATGTCTTGCTTGTTTTTGTTGCAAGTTTCTTGAGGTCGAAAGGCCGACATGCGCCCTGCCTAACCCTTTTCGCTGGGCAGCGCCACATTCTGCGGTGTACTTGCACGGATTGTTGCATTATGACTGCTCGTGCATTCATAATGCACCTGTCTAAGAGACATCGCCTACGACTCTTTACCCTAAGATGCTTTCCCCTTTTTGAAATCACGTAAGGGCTCTTAAATCCTGGTTGTTTCTGAACTCATGCCGTGTCCGCCGAGCACTTAGCAGGTGGTATGGTCCTGACTTGAAGCATTCAGCTAAGAGGCCGCAAGACTTGTGCGCTTTGGTCCAGTTCGTTGACGGCGGTTTATTGCAACAAAATGATGCCCTGTTGCTTCTGTTGCACCGACGGAGACGTGCAACTGCCATCGCTTGTCATATCGAACCTTCGAAACAGCTGCGAGTGCCGACAATCGAAATTGACTAAATCCTCTTATGCGTTCGGCCCGTGTTGCGGCGCGTGAAGGACGGGTGGCGGAAGATTTTAATTCAAACATCGCAGTGCAAACAGCATTGCGCGCACTCATCAGCCTATCTACCATCCGCTACAGCTTTTTTGTACTGAAATAAACTACTAGAAACAAGTCAAATCCCTTACTGCTTCAAGATATTCAGGTCGGCTGCGATTGGGGTTCCTTAGGGTTGCGGTATCCAATATTTGTGCACGTGGACGTCCACGAGTACCGTCGGCTCGGTACATCGTTGTCGATGCGCTAATCGTTTTCTAGTGGTGTTATTTATGATGCGTAGGAAGTAAGCGTGGTGTCGTATGCTCTGCCGCGGTAGCCTTGATGCAATGGAGCTTACGTGATGGCGGCCTCATGCATATGCACAGCTGAAGATAGACAGCAAAGGGCCCTCAACAATGCCCGAAAGATAGCGGTACTCCGGCTTCATTATAACATTGAAATGGACGAAAAGTATTATATGCCCTTTGCAAAATGTCCTCAGTCAGCCAGGTATTGTGAATACGAATGAAGGCTCAGACTTAAACTGCAGCCAAGAGGTAATTAATAGTATATGCATTGAAAATATATGCATTAAGTGATGACCTCACAGCCTGAATAAGGCGCAATGAGAAGTGCGCGGCTCACATTCTTCCAGGGTGTAAAGTGTTACCCTTTCAAGGGTGATAAGCTTCGACAGCTTACGATGAGAGTTAGGTAAAAGCGAGCTTCGGTCAAAGATAGGTTTGGAGACTAATGCTAATGACAAGGGGAGGGAAAAAGTCATAATACGCAATGCGTTCAATAATTAGCTTTTACCCTAAAATTGAGTGTGTACGGCACTTCCTTAAAGCTGCATACGGTAATGATTGTATCATCGCCAGCAACGTGCTAAATGTTCCAGTGCGGAGCACATGAAAAATATTGTGTGCGACTTATGCGCACATGTGATTTTTTATTTTGTCGAGGGTCAATCATTAAGGCCATGCGCTGCTTTTGCTTTGAAATCACTAAGAAGCGGCATGGAAACCAGTACAGCTACTGCCCCCGTTTCATGGATAACATCCTTAGCGGCCACTTCCCCCAAATCAAGCCCTTTAAGCAAAAATAAAAACTATCCTGCTGTCATGGTGGATGCAAAATCCAAAAACTGTTGCAGTTTCAGGGCATTCCCGGATGTACGGCGCCACCCCCGATGCAGCGACTTAAGTCTACGACTTTCCTAATTATATATAAGCTTTTCATATCTGTTAGAGACGTTTATGTTAATTTGTGCTTGCACTTGCTAAGATATTGAACCCCGCAACGGGGTCGATTAAACGTACACACTGACCCCTTGTTTGGTCGACAGCAACTCCCCAGTGCCAAAACAATTTCTTGTCAGATTATTTTGCAAATTTTGCTTAGTGCAATAGACAGCAGTCCCTCTACAGCGTCGCACCTGACTTCTTGAATGGTCATCGCATTACACGCTGACTGTCTTCCAGATATGAGGACATCCCAGCGGAGCGCTGCCCTCAAGATGAGGCTTTCAACAATTATTTTGACGATTCTTTTCGCCACCGGGAGTCACAGACTCGTGTATGCCTCACAAAGGCGGGCAAGGCTTGCAGATGCTGCAACTCGAAGGCTCCAACAGGAAGGCACCACGACGCTGGTGAGATTGCATACATTGTTATTGTTGAAAATCCAATCAACCAACCCGAATGTTCGTCGGGCCCTCTGTCTGTCACCGGCCCGTCGACATCTCCAGGGAACGTCATTGACCCTTCCCACGCAAGAGCAGTTGCCTGTCTTGCGGGCCAAAACCTGGACGACCATGTTTGCTCGGTCGCCACCTTCGCCACCTCCGCCCAGGCCACCGCCACCCAGTCCTCCGCTTGCGAAAGCACAAAAGTCACCAAGACTACCGGGATCCCCACCACCATCCCCACCACCACCCCTGAGGAAAGCACCTAAGGCACCTCGGGTACCTAAAAGCCCTGAAAACCCATCACTGCCTTCCCCGCCAAAACCACCAAAAGCTCCAAGGTTTCCACGGCCGCCCAAGATGCCCGGGAGCCCACCACCGTTGGCGCCTCCGTCCCCACGCCCACCTAACCCAAGCCGATTTCCGCCCTCACCACCGCCGCCAGCTCCGGCCCTCAGAAGCCCGCCAGTTAAGCGCCCCAACCCGCCGCCGCCGCCACCCCCGGAGGAGCAAGCCCAATCCGATGACGCCTACGTGCCCGTCCGGGACCCCAAAACCTTGACAAGCGTGGTCATGGCAGTGGATGTTTGCGGGGAGCCCTCCAGGGCGAACCTCACTGCTCTGCAGGTGCCCAGGGTACAGATCACGGAGTGGGATAAACCATCTGACATTATCCAGTGTGCGATTTTATTCCTTGGGTTTCGTGTTATGTACCTTACGTGCCGCATCATCATGCCGACACGATGCACTTTGATACGTCGGGTAATAGTGTACGAATGGTACGAAAGCCTAGCATTAAAGCCTAACATTCCATGCTGTGCCGCGCCACGATGCTGCGATGCAGATTGCTTGGGCGACTGTCCTGCCGAACTTCTTCCGGCAGAGTTCCTTTGGTGCACTCCTGATGCCTACAGACCCGAAATACAACCGCGTCCTGCGGGACCACGTGAATATTGGGTGCCCCCCTGGTGAGCGTGCATGCAATACACAGCCGCCGACGCCTACATGGGGACTTAGGGTATTGGGCACCCCTTCAGTGAAATTGAACGGATCACAGGTCGCAATGCCGTGAGCATTGCCAACATATTCTAAATTCCGCGACAGCGATAGACTCCCTCGCCCAATGAGGGCTAGGCCAGGCGAGGCTAAGTTGGGCTAGGCATGGATCGATTTGGCAAGGCAAGACTGGGCTAGGCTGGGTTTTATGCATGGCTGGAGGCAGCTGCGCTGGGCTAGTACCTTAAACCTTAAGAGCAAAATATTGTTTTGCCCCAACTACAAAACTTTCGGGTGGGGCCTCAGGCAATGACAAGCAGGTTGATCAAAAGGAATATCAGTTGAAAACGGACCTCGCGCCAGCTTTTCTGTATGCCAGCCTGAGCAAACTGTAGGCTGCAAAAAGTAGTTCCCTTCCTGACTTCCTCCCTAGCCCCTCTTTTGCTAGTTCCCCGTGTTCCCCTGACTACAACACACTGGATAGCTCACATTCCAACCAGCCCAATCATTCCCCATGTCGTGTCGACAACGCTCGTCGCGGTCCACATCACTCTTGCCCATGTCGCCGCACGCCCACCATGTGTTTGCTTGCGTGGAACCAGGCGATAGAGATCTAAGAGTGTGGGGAGCCAGGGCTGACGCAGACGCTCGGCAAGTGAGTAAATATATGAGCTATTAGTAGCCGGATAAACGATTGGGTGGGGGAGGAGAGCCGGGGGAGGAGAGCCGGGGTCATGTGCTGCCCAGGAGTGGGGCTAGCCTTGGGCATTTTTGAGGTGCTGGGGAACGTGTTTGCAGCTGGGGCGCGCGTGCGGTAGCAACGTGTGGTAAACACATGTGCACGTGCGTGCGTGAGTCTGGGCATTCGGGTTGCTTACGGAAGCACAAATGTGACCTGCGATGGCGCACATGCCCTTGTTTCCTTGGCGGGCCATTATTGCCTTGTTGCGGCCCATCCCCGGTAACCTACCGCCTGGCTTCCCATCGACTGTTACGCCATTCCTGCGTGGAAAGACCTTTCCCAACACCTCGGTTTGTCGTCATTGACTCTTTCGCTCCCCGCCCCCACCACCTTGCAGCGTCTCCAACAAGACGTAAGCGCTTACTATTCGCACGTATACATTATGCCGCCCAGCTTTGGTGGCGTGTCGTACGGGGTCATCATGTGCCCTAACTACGGCACAAGCGACGTACCGGGGGTGTGGACCACAGTCAGTGGTGCGGAAGGCGAGTGCGGGGGGGTTGGGGGGTGAAATGACTCCCGGAGGCCTTTGGAGGAGCGGCCTGGACGAGGCCCCTTGGTTTTGGATCTTCGCCGTTTAGGGGGAGTAATAGGGAGGGATAATAATAAAGGAAATGTCTAACGGAGGGTTTAGGCGAGTGACCTGGAGCGGGGAGAAGCCGGAATGGAGAGCCAACACGAACTTATTTGCGCGGCATCCAGCACGGCATCGATGTGGGTTAAAGGGCCGGCGGGTGTGCGGGCGGCGGGTGTGCGGCCGGAGGGTGTGCTTGCAAAATTATCCACCAAACCAACCTTGATCTGGCCTATCCTTTCCTCCGCCCGACCTCTTGGGCAACCTTTGTCCGGTCGCTCCCTGTACAAACCTCTCTTTCTGTGAGGCAGCTCTTTCCCGAGCTCCCTCCCCTAACAGCCCCTTACCCCTGCCGCCCGCGTCCTTCGACAGCAATCCCGTGGACTATGGTGCATGAGATGGGGCACAACTTGGGCCTATTCCATTCTAAGGTAGGCCCGTGTTGATTGCGGGGACTTGCTGGCGCGGGCTACCATGGTCTTCTCCATATCTATATACTCAGACGTTCATTTTGACCAACGTCCCAGCTCCTAATTTACCTCAGTATTTGGCCTCCAATGGACACCCATCATATTTCATTCTTCTTCTTTTGGACATACCACAATTGCATCCCTTTCCATTTTCCCTTTAAATCAGCAAATTTCTTCAGTCGTGCAGTGTTTGAGGCAGATAGAAGACCAGCCCGAGAAGCAAGCGCAGTCCCAAACCCGTTTTCGCGTCCATCCCAATAAAGCCATACACCCCACTGGCGAATGGTGTGGTGCTATCCGGCGTGTCTGCATAACCACAGGGTTACGACAGCAATGGTGTGGAGCAGGAGTACGGTGACCCATCATGCCCTATGGGCACCAACGTTGTGGCTCATTACAATGCGCCTCACAGCGTGTGGCTAGGATGGACAACTCCCCAGAGGGTGCTTATGGACACAGATTTAATCGTCGGTGAGCCAAAACGTTGCCATCTTATGTTGGTTGTGTGCGATCAGAGTTTAGGATTCATCCTGCGAAAATGAACTCGGTTTTATTATAGTGAATCTCGTATGTGCGGCGGCTCCACATGGTTTGCGTCAATCCGTGATTAACCAGCCCCTCGTTGTTCGACACCTGACAACAAAAGAAGTGGAATGGGAGTTGTATGGGTTGCTGCAATTAGGACGTCAAGCCCGGCGTTGCAAAGGGTGTAGTTAAAGGGGGTTGTGCGAGGCAACCAAGTGCGTAGCTGGTACGAGAGGAAACATCCTTGAGGAGGATGCGCACCATGTTGTGATGTTGGACCCCTTCCCCGCAAGATGCGTCTGCCGATAGAGCCACCCCTGCCTCCCTGCCATGTCGTCCGCCACAACTCACGCCCAGTCTGGGGCCCCCCCACATTTCCCCCCCCCCCCCAGGCACGTGGAGTACCTACACCATCAAGGGGTTGGCCAACACCCCAGTTAGCTCTCTGCAGGTGGGTGTTTGGAAACCGTAGCCTGGGTAGCTACATAGCTACCCACAAGCTTGCTCACATGTCCACGGTTCTTGGAAGTTTGGAAGCGGTCGAGCATAGAGCGCCCGGTGCTTTCCGCTTCATGCAAATCCCTCAGCTCGCAATGAAAGCCACTCCTGTCGAAAGTATGTCGAACAGTCGGCAGCGGGCTAGGAACCTAGCGGGGAAATATGCCTCTGAGGCGATTGTGTTTTGGAGAAAAACCAACATCCAGAAAAACGTTTCGTCGGCTTCGCAATGTAGTAACCTTTCGGGCAGGAAAACTGCACTTTTTGCGACTCTCCTGGGCGGTATAGCGCTCGTGACTGTATCTGTTGGCCAAGCAATGGTTGGGGGCTCATGGTGTGGCAAGGTGTAGCGGGGGAAGATGCCAGGAAGTGATTTGTCCTTACGGGACAGCTCTATGCTGGACCAAGAGCACTTGCTCGTCCTGGGAAGGGGTGCTGAATGTGTGCACAAAATCTTTAGCGCTGTCCGAAAGCTCACAAAATGGAGAGGCAGCTATTGTCCGCAGCTGTACAGTTCCCAGCAGACGTTTTGTCTGGACTTCGCTACGGATACAGACGGAATCCGAGGCAATCGACTTGGCATGGCCTCATACGGGACGACTGGGTCGCAAATTATGAGGAAAGGAGCACCGGTGGCGGGTACAGATGTCAGGAAGCAAGTGATAAGTCACGCGCGATTGCCATTTCGAGTGTTAGGATCAGTAAGCCTTGAAATCGAGAAAATTCTAGAAGAACTACATTAGCGCTTAGCGCCCTTTTCAACTGTCCCGCCGTCCCCCGGGCCGCATTCGCACTTGGGGGCCTTTTGATTCTGCTGTACAAGCCGCCGATTGGTGTCGCAACGTTGCAAGTGACAGCACAAGATGCTAACCAAGCGCAGAGGGGGATCATCAGAGTCGGCACTTGCCTAACCTGACTTCCATTCAGGGACAAGTATGTAATGATCATTTTAATAGGTCTTTCTTCTAGTGTGAAGAAGCGGCCCACAGCGGCGCATAGATTCCATTTTGCGGAGGTATCCAAGCAGTTGCCTAAAGCCCTTATAATGGAAGCTAAACGGAAGTCAGCTAGGCAAATAAGTTGCCAGGTTTCTCATCCTAAAGCATGCATATTTTATACAGGTAACGTGCTGACATGACTTTTGGCATGTGTGCACTAGTTTAATCGGACCGGTGCCGCGTTGCACACATTAAAATTAAGGCAGGGACAGCCAAAAATGCATTCGTACAACTCCATCACCGGTAATGGGTTTCTTCCAATACGATTTGCCTAGTACATATTTCCTGATTTTCAGACTTCACACAGAGGCCCATGTCGGTTGGAAATTCATTACCGTACGTGCGGCATTCGCGAAATTTGCGAAATTGCCAGTTGTAGCATGCTTACACACGTACACACAAAACGATTAATGAGCAGAAGCCTAAAAGCTCGACCAGTTGCTCGACCGATGTGCGAATTTACTGGCCCGTTTTTGGTGCACGCGAATTTTGCACCGAAATCCTGCACCAAAGCTCACTAATTTGGGCTTAGTGCACGATTCACACGCACCTGGCGGACAATCCGGAACCCCAACCAGGTCCTAGAACATTTGCAGGTCACTATATGATCCAGCAAACGCGCTATCCACATGCAATATGTTGCTTCCAAGTCTACGACACCTTTGAAGACTGCAGTGCAGCGGATGTCTTTCGGCCTAAGCAGCGGCCCCCGGGCCCAAGGCAAGGAAAAGCAAATATAGTTTGTTAATAACCACGGCCGCCACCCGGGCCTCTATCTCATTGTATTGCTTCCTACTGTTCCCTTGCACCTGTCGCCCTCCTCATCTTGCTCTTCCTCCCTACCTACCTCGCGCCCTACCTACCTACGTACCTACCTACCTACCTACTTACCTCCTCGTTCCCTACCTACCCTCCCACCTCCTTCCCTACCTACCTACCTACCTACCTACCTACCTACCTACCTGCTTGTCTACTTGCCTAATCACCCACGTTGACACCTCACCCATCCCGCTTACCTGCCCCCCCGCCTCAATGCGCTCTATTTCCCCCCCGCCTCAATGCGCTCTATTTCCCCCCCGCCTCAATGCGCTCTATTTCCCCCCCGCCTCAATGCGCTCTATTTCCCCCCCGCCTCAATGCGCTCTATTTCCCCCCCCCCTCAATGCGCTCTATTTCCCCCCCGCCTCAATGCGCTCTATTTCCCCCCTATATGTATTGTTTGATCCACTGCCCCCCAGATATATGCTGGGTCCTGGATGTTTGGGCGCACCGAATCACCCTTGGTGTGGGATCGAAACGACCTCTTATACGTCAGCTTTCGCCACTACAACACCTCCTCAGTGGACGTTGGCTTGCCCGAGGCGCAGAGGAACAAAGTCCACATCCACCGCCACGCGCGGGACGTAGAAGACTGCGGCGCTCCGGTACTCCTTGCCAGTTTGGATGACGGGCGAATACAGAGCACTTGGCCCAAGCGCGGTAGCAAGCTCATGCAGGACGCCCTATCGCCGCTATTGACAGTGACAGTGACCAGGATTGACACGAAGGCGGGCATCGCTACGGTTAAACTGTGCCGGTGCGTGTGTGCGGGGAGGGGAGGTAGTGGGCTGTGTTTTGGCGGTCTGGTCTTCCTTTTGGGGGAGGGGGGGAGATACTCTGGGCCGGGCCAATGTCAGGGCCCTCCAGGTTCGGTGTAACCCGCACGTTCACTCGAAAAACGCGTTTAACTGCATATTTACCCAAAATCGCTATAAAAAAAACCGTAAAACCCGTATGCCATTTTTATTTATTTTTATATTTTTACATTCACGCGATCCGATCATTGAAACACACACGTATGTTCGTACGCACGCAGGGCTAGCCAGCTTACTGCAGAAACTGGTGCACAGTGCCATGATAACCTGGATAACAACTGTGATGGACTGGTAAGGTTGTGGAGGTGTTGGGACGGCGCTGCGAATGCGAGTGCGAATGCGTGCTGAGGGGGAAATGTACCGAAATGGGTCGCTTGTTATTGTTGGGGTCGTTGTTGGTTTGGCAGTTGGAATGTTGTTGCGTGTACGTGCGGTTGCAGTCCGACTTCTGTGATTCGCTTTATTTGCCCCGTAATCTTAACCGCTAACTAACTGGCGACATGTCCAAAATTTTTTTCAGAAGGGACATCTTAAATTTTGTGTTTATCATACTCCTGCTGCTTGTTCCAGTTGAGCATGCTTATGTGGGCTGAGATTCGTGCACCCCTGCATGTGTTGACGGCAACTAACGGCCTTCCATATCTGCATGCGGCACATTATCCCTCATCACCATCATCACCATCATCACCATCATCATCATCATCATCCCATTGCGCGCTGTCCTCCTTGCCACCTCGGCGACCCCCCGGCTGCAGGTTGATAACTGCTAAGGGCGGGGGGAGGCCACGGAAGAGATGCGGCACACAGGAGCACATCGCGGCAAATGCACCACTGGCCATCAGCCAACGCCGCGGCGTCATCAACAGCCTTGCTAGGTGCAGAGCTTGCCGACAAGCAGATTGACGCTATGTGCGGGGCCAGCAGGCCAGCCAGGTCATCCGCCAACGAACCCGAAGTGATATTTAGGAAGATTATCTGCATGGCGCAGCATGGTGCAGCATGCAAGTTTTTCTTATGTGTTTTTCCGGAAGCCATTTATCAGAGTAGTGCGCCAGTAAGCAAGCAATCGTGCAAGTAACAGCTTATAGGCATGGAGATAAGCAAGGTCTAGAGGAATGGTGGGCTGGAATGGTGCTGCTGCTGCTGCTGCTACACCGCCATCGCCATCGTTGCTGTGCTGCGAGCAGTCTACCGAGCTTTTGATAGCAAGCAAAGCGTGCATATGTACAGGTTCTGGACAGCGGTAACCGTTATCCAGCGTGGACTTACGACATGGTGATGCACAGCACGTATTTATTGACCGACCATCGCACGGACGATAACCAACGTGTGACATGGAGGGGTTATGGGTTGAGCACAGTCATCATCTAAGCAGGCAGGGCTAACGGTGCCCTGAGCTAATTCCTTTTAGGCGAAGAATGAGACCTTATAGAGCTTCCCTAGGTAATAGCAAAAACACCGCGTGTGCACAGCGGGCATTCATGAAATGTTTTATTTATTGTCGTCCCGGCTTTTGCCGCCGCCGTTGCTGTGCTGCGGCGTGCATGGCAGGGAGGTCCTTGCTCATCTGCTAAAAGACGACGGGTTGTGTGGGGTATTGAGGGGTTATGGGGAGTTAGACGCCGCGATGGCTTTCCGCAAGTCGTTGCCGGTAGGCGTGCAATGACTGGAATTCTTCGAGCCCTGTCTCTCGCGGGCAAGGGCCAACTTTATGCAACATGAATCTTGAATGATGTTTTTACAGCGCTGGTACCCAGCGATGGCAGGACATTCATATGTTGATGATTGGGATTCGTTCTTACAGCGCGGCCAACATACAGATAGGTTGTGTGGTAGCGATAGTGACGATGATGATAATGCATAATTTTGCTGTTGCTGCTGTTGCTGTTGCTGCTGCTGCTGCTGCTGCTGCTGCCAATCATAAAGGTGTGTGGTAATCGTGGTGGTGTGATTGCTGTTGTGGTGTATTGCCTGTGCATTGCCGAGCACCGAAAATGAGTCGTTACTTTGAGAAGACACGAATGCCGCGGCCAATGCACCTAGCTTGGAGTTGCCGCTCGTCACACTGCTAAGTGCTGCAAGCGGAGCGTTTCTTTTCATTATGCTGGTAATTAGCTTTTGGGTAACGGAGCGGATCTTCCATGATGTGTGCATTGGTTCGCGTTTGTTGATGCACCTGTATTCTAGTTGCCGGATCCTCCTAGGCTCTCTCTTCGAGATCTCTAAAGTATCGCCTGGCCTATTTACTTTCCCCTTTGGGTTCAAGGCCCTGTGGGTCAAAGACCGCTTTTGTTTTGTTATTAGTTTCCTGCGCAAACACGCGCGCAGCTGCCGTAGTGTAGTAGGTGTTGGCACAGTCTGCGAAGATCCCTTGCTCTGCGTGCAAGGATCCGGATTGGAACCTGAATCCATCCGCTACTTCTCTATTCGGTCGTCATGGTGAGCAGGAGGATGGCTCTTTTACTACCTTCGCTTAGCGTGCAGAGCTGCACCCTCTTAAATCGATTACTCACGATGTCTGCAGTCTTCCTGTCGTTTGTGTCACGTATCTAACTCGTTTCACATTTGCCTGCGCAAATGGTTAGCCTTCTCCACTGGTCGCACTACTTGGCCGCCCATAGTGCCAATCACGGCAGATTTAGCTCGGTCTGCTTGCTTGATAACTCGAGGGTACAAAAAATCGAAAGTCGACCTGCCTTAATGTGCACTTCGTGCATATTCTAGGTTGCAGAGACTGGTTTTTGATTTCGTTGTAAGGTGGCTATGCGGGCCTTGCCTCTTCCTCGGGCATCTACCCACAGCCTCGCACCTCGATCGCACCATCACGTGCGGCCGCGAGCGGAGCCGATGCCCATGTATATATCGTTTAAATCTTTTAGCATGCTCCAATGTCCGGCCTTTTAGCTAGGTGCTGGTGCAGCGATGTGCGAGGATGGTACCCGTTGACGGGTTTGCCGGAATGTGCGTAGGTGGGTGCAGACAGGGGCTTTTGCGAGAATGGTCTAACGAGGCGGATTGCGGCAGTGGTGCGGGATGGGCAGGCACTAGAGGTCGATTGAACTGATTGCAGCATTGCGGGGGGTGTCGCATTGCCCCGTTGCCCATTTTAGCTTGCGCCTATGGCAGCTCGCGGTGGTCTGCCGCAATGACTGCCTCGCTTAGCTAGGGCGGCCTCGCAGTGGTGTGCGTGCACGCGTCTTTGCCCGGCCAGGACCAGGGTGCCCTTGCTTGCGCGAGTGCGTCTCACCTCCTCTATCTGCTTCGTGCAGTTGATCATCGGGGGTGTAAGCGCCTGCTGGGCAAAGCCTTGTCGGTCTTAGGCCGGCCTTCGTCAGAGGCTCACCTTCTTTCAGGATGAAGTTGCGGGTGCCAGTCATATAGATCAGAGATTTCGGCTAGTAGCGGTGTAGTGCTTCTTCGCCAACTTTTACATGCGCAGGACATTCGTGCATGGCGACGAATAACGGTGTTGAGTGCGCGTAGATGTGCGTGTACGGGGTATTGAATATACGAGGCCGGGGTTAGTTCCCGCACCTCGCGTAGGTTCCCGGACGGTTAGACGGACGTTGAGCTGCTCGTTGGCGGTTTTTTTCAGCTTGCTCCCTGATGGGTCGCGTGCAGGGCTCTGTGTAACAATGTCTTGCGGTGTCCTCTTGCGGAGTCCCTTTGACAACTCCAAACCACCAAAGATGGGCAGCTCCCGTGCGTTGTGATGAGAGACCAAGGAGGCCAGCTCTGTCAAATTAACATGTTTGCATTAAAGCAAGTGCCAGTTTACTGCTTTCATTGGGGTAGCAGTAGTAGGGCGAATGGAAAGGGATTGCAAAGCCTGACAACGTCTTGACTGGGCATGACTGCTGCTAAATTTGTTAGCACGGGAGGATGCCGCATCGTCACCTTCCCGATGGCAAGCTGATGATGTTAGCGACTAGAAAGGCACACAGCTAAACCAGTAATGGATGCATCCTGAATAATTCTGTGGGATTTGATTCCCGGTCCGCTGCGCAGCTTTCTTTGCAGGACCTCTTTGATGATGGAGGCCCCCGACTTCCGGCAAGACCTTGCATGTCAGCAGACTCGCTCGTCTGCGGCCTTGTGGGATGCCTACCCTGCCTGCACTTTCCGAGTTGCTAGGGTCCTTGTGCTTCACTCCCTCGCTTGCGATGTCCTTGAATGGCAGCACGCTTATTTTGGGAGCCCTGGGCAACTGCCTCTCATAATCACCACCTCCATCCCTTGCAGCTTAGCTCTGGGCGCTAATGCGAACTTCATTCCAGGACGAGGCGGCTGCTCTCCTGGCCCACCTTTGGCTGTTCATTCTGAGGAGTGGAGAGTGGAGAGTGGTGCGGGAGGTGAAGTGGGTAGTCTTGAAAGGTACTTTGCGGCTCTCTCAAATCTGACGCATGTTTTTGCTTTATTGAGAGGTATCGTGCACTTGCCAGTGTTCAGGTTTCTCGTTGCTTGTGGGACTTTTTTAGAAAAATTCTATGTTGTTTTGTTTCTGGTCCATTGCCGATGACCGTGTTATGCGGCGGTTCTAAGGACGTGTATCAGGACGTGTATCGCTTCAAATGGGAGATCCCGACGAAGTCGATATGAAGTACTCCGGCGGTGAGTGTGTGGTAATGAAGAGCGTGTGAAGTGGGGTCGCTGCACGAATGCCCGTTGTGGGTGTGTGGTTGTTACAGTGGGCTCCAGACTCCCGAAGAGTAGAGCCATCGGGCCAGCTGGCCGTGCACTGCAGTAGAGACTAATATACCAAAAGATTATCATCTCAGATAATTAACCTCTCATCGGTAACCGCTCTCGCGAACAAATCAATTTGCCAGATATAATCCTCAAAAAGGGGTGATGTGCGCCAACGGATTCCCAACCTTTTCGTGGAATTCCTAAAGCTGCGAAACCCTGAATGCGGCCCCAAAAATCAATAATAACTCGACAAATTGCTTCTTCCGTAAGGGAAGGACCAGGTAACAGTGCCGGGTTGGTTTTCATGTTTGCAGCCATATAACGTCTCCCATGCTCCATGGCTGACACCGCAGCAAGAGCCACAACATCCCAAACACATTGTTGCACTGATTGTGGGGCTTGGATAAGCCAAAGTTGCTCCCTTGAGACTGGCAATCCTATTGAAAGAGTAAGTTGATCTGCTATTGCCTGTGCCACCGGACAGGCCCAGAAATGATGATAGCGAGGGGATACACCTCCCACTGAACCTATTGGATAACCTCCACAACCACATATCGTTGGGCGCGACATCCTAAGATGGGAATTTCCTAACATAGGCACCCCATCAACCGCAAGACGCCACCAAATCTCTTTTTGTTCATTTTCCCACCGTTGTGCTGGAGTTGTGGTGTGCAGGGTTCGTCCCCGACAAGGTCGTGCCTTTCCAGATGGTATATTGTGTTTGTGGGACTTTTTTGTTTTGTCCGTCTGTATAGGTCTGTTGCTTTGCATGTTTACTCCATGTTTCAATCTGTCTTCCGTCACTCCTTGCAACCTCCCGTCCCAATTATGCAATGCTTACTCATGTCGTATTATTTGGCCTGTTATGAGAGGTTGCGGCTCAGTAGCAGGTTTTCCTACCTACAGAAATTGAGGGAGGCTTATTACGAGGACCTGCGTCTTTTCCATCTCCAGCAGGTTCAAAGAAGCTGACATCCTATTCGCCACTTGGGACCGCGCCCGACAAAATGAATTATGTTCTTCCTGGCATTTCAATGTTATGTCCAGAAACTGGATCGAACACGAACGAGCTGTGATATCGCTATGCGTCATATGTCATACCGCTGCACACCATTTTTCCAGTTTCGTCCGACATTGGGCCGAATTGGACCAAACAAAGCTCACATTTGTTGCGAAGCCCTTGGCCTTGAATTTAATTTCCAAGTTCAAAACTTGACGTCACACGTGACAGGATCAATGAACCATGCTGTCGCCCAGTCGAGGTTCGCATCGACGCCCTTTCGGTAAACTCGTTCGCCTCCGGTATGATTTACGTACGGTTGTGGCTGAAACAACATCATGTATGTCCTTACCCCTAAAGCCACCTCATCCTTTTGGCAGATATCACTCAGCAGCCATGCACGCTAACGGCTATAGCACGGTACGGTTAATAGCATCCTTTGGCCACGAACGCATTCGACGAACATTTTCCAAGAATCTTTGGGTTTCTAGACTATACATATCATTATCTTGATTTCTTTATCACTCCAATCAAACATCAATGTAACAACCACACACAATCAAACATTAGATTTGAGAGTTGGTATTGAAGGTAAATACTTTTGGACCTATCTATTTTCAGTCTTCCAACTCTTCGATCAAAATGGTTATCAAAGTTATCAAAGTCAGAACATGTAAATTTAAGCTTGAATGCGCCTTCTGCCTGAAATCTGTAGGTCAAAGCGTATCCGTATATCGATCTTCCTAGTCAGGTCCATAGCCACAGTCAAGCAGTGCTGCTCGTCGACCTATACAGCATTTAAATGGTTTATTGATATTCATCCATGAAATGTGATGACCGCGTCTTTTCCTTGAGGTCTCGGAGCTGCAGCAGCACAGCAGCACGCCCTGCTGAGCTACTCACGATCGCAGCAAGTGCGGCCAAGTTGTCCAGGCAGCATCATCGTCCTGTCGCACTGTGGACCAAATTACATGTTGTTACAGAGTGAAAGGCTTCTGGGCCACTTGATCACATCGTCAGTCCTAAGATTTAATCACCATACAGCACCATCCACCAATTACTTTGTGTTGGAGTGATTGTCCTTACCATTGCGGATTACCATTGGGGATTCAACCAGATCGCCGGCGGGGCTCCTCGCACCCAACCACTGCACAGGACAGAAACGGCCCGGAAAGGTACACACCATGCATGGCGATCCCCCTACGGCGGCTTGGACGGCCCCAAACTAGTAGGCATGCACCCGTGCCCAGCATTTGTTCCACCAGTACATTGTCGACTCACGGGCGCGAGTCTTTCAGGGCTCGCATCGCAAAAAGTGGGTCGGCTGTATGTCGGCCTCCTAGAACCTGTCGTCCAGCACAGCGGAACGACGAACGCGAGCCCGAAATAAATGGCCGCTATGAGGAGGTGCGGCGTCGGGCCGCGGGGTGTTTTCCGCGCGGTGGTTTGGTCCTAGACATACCGACCCAAAGGTTTAACTTATCCTGACGCATATCCCGCTCGGCAATAAAGTCAAGCCCATGGCATGGAAACATTCCCACCAGTGCATTTCCAAGCATTTCCCTTATTCGAAATCGTACGCAGTAGCTGGCTAGGTAGCGCTAGCCACCTACGCTTGCCAGTAAATTGCGTTATTACGTGTTTCAAGATGCATCATTTGGACGGGAAGAGCGTGCGTTTGGGTTTCCCCCGTATGCATGTCGGAATTAAAACGAAACAAGCAAGCACTACGGGGATTAGGCCTACGGCGTCCCCTAATGCTAACTCCGCACCTCTCCTCACACGGAGCGAGTTTATTTGCCCATGTATGGTGCGTGGGGTAATTTTATGGGTTGTGGCGGGCAGTAAGAGATGTCTATTGATTGACCGTTGTTTGTTTATGTGCGGTCCTACACCTTCCGAAAGTATAGCGACGGTGGTGTTGACTGCGCATTAGATGTGCATCTCACCACTTCATCTTGTTAATAATTACCTTTTGCAGCTTTTAGCTCCTGTTTCTGCAATGATCTGGAAAGGGTAAGGCCGCCACAAGAGGCGGCATGCGGGGCCGTACATATACGGAGCTGATGTGACATAGCCACAGGTGCGTAGGAAGTGGCGACTAACAGATCAGAGGTTTGACGGCATGGCGCATCAGGCATTACGAAACAGCTAACTGTAAGGTGCACTTTCCTTACTCCAACATTCTGAAGGGGGGATTACTCAGAATATGCTTAAACGAGTTAGGTAAAATGATTAAAATCCTTGCGATGTAAGGTTCCATGGCGCCTGGCAGCTACCTGGCAACATAGTAAGTAGCGGCGGGCGTACAGCATACGAAATGCCAAATGGGATGCTGCTTTGTTGCGCCATCGGATGTAGGTATCAACTACGCTTCCACCAGACGAAGATTGCGCATGAAAACTCCGTTGTATTCCAAAATCGGCCATAATTCAAACCGTCTCGTATACACGTTAGTCGTTCATTGGCTCTTTTGGTACCTCAGGGCAATGCGTTAAATATAATTAATATCGCAGGGGCTCTGACGATGTTTTCCATGGCATGGAATGGCAGCGAACCCTTGGTGATGGCAGGCTTTGCGGTTCTCGGCAAGAAGTCTTTCCACTCTGCTTGGCCTTGTAAGTTCTCCTACCGTACAACATGTATCTGGCTACAAGGTGAAGGATTGGCACTGCCGCTTACGGCACCTTACTATCGTTCGGAAGCAGCTACATGATCGTTCAGCGTGCGCATATGAGTCCATATGTCCTCCTGGGTTGATCAAATTCCTTGTCCTCCTGATCTGCACAATAACAGTGACATGATTTACCCCTTCTAGCATATCGTAGAAGACCTCCCCAGGACGGTTACTCAGCAGAGACATTCCGCTCCATTCCCTTAAACAATCAGAAACTGCAGGAGGCAACCCTACGGCTACTGACCGGGAGGGCGATGGGGACTCATGGAGCCTCCGGGACCAGCCCGTACGGCACGCGTGGGAGGCGCTCGAAGAAAAAAGCTACCCGCGTGATTATGTCCACGCTGTTGGGCTTCTTGCTGATCTGTCCCGCAACCGTCTTTGGTGGTAACCAGTACATGCACAGAGCAGTCAGTGGTCCGCTGCGGCTCCTGCAACAACAACAACAACAACAACAACAGCAGCGGCAGCAGCAGCAGCAGCAGCAACCTGCCGTTGCCGGACGTTATCGGTGCAACGTGACAGGTAAGGGCAACGGAAGCAGAATGGCAGCCGGCCCGGACCAGACATCGGCAAAAGGAGTACGTCTGGTTTCGGGAACCAACGGTCTATTTCTGTCTTGCTCATAGCGCGGTCATGGCTCGTGACCGCATCATTGACTGCCGGCTCCGGCCGTCGGGGCTCCCTTCGTGCCGCAGAGGGGAGCTTTCGTATGGGACGGTAGGCGGGATGGTCCTCTATTTCTGCAAACGGGTCGGCTTCGGGAACTCTACTTCTGATTTCGGGAGTTTCGGTACACGACCCGAAGTGCCTGAAGTGTTTGCCGGTGTCTGGCCCCGACGGTAACACGACGTTGTAAGATTTGAAGTAAAGCTGTTCCCCGTAAATCAAGATTCCGCATGTCTTTCTACTGTATCAATCAGTGTCCAGGAGTGCCGCAACGGATGGCCATACCGCCGGTTACTGTTACTGTCTGTGATGGGCGCCAGTCCAGTCACCCTGGGTCACCCTCATCACAAACCTCTTACCAGTCATCTTCTTCCGGTAATTAACCGACGAATACCAGATAACGCTCACCGGTAACCACCAGTGACAGTTACCAGTATTCCCCATCCTTCCCTGGATACGCTCACAGGCGATAACTCCTCTTAGTCGTCCCCCGCCGGGCCGCTCCTTTGGTGTGGGGGGAAAGCATAAAACGCAGCAAGATAGATTGTGGTGTACACCCCAGAACACCGCCGTGCACCGTACGTGACACCATGCAGGAACCGTCAGGTTCCGGGACGATGGCACGGTGAGGCTCATCGATACGAACGGCAAAAGCTGGGTCCTCAGTTGGAGCCGGAATCCTCCTCCTCCGTCACCATCGTCGTCGCCATCGGGGGCAGGGGCGGTGATGCCGGCGGCGGCTGCGGCGGCTGCGGCTGGAAGAGGTCCACTGCAAACTGGTGGGGGTCTAGGGCCCGACAATGCATGAACACGCCGCGCCATGCCGCAAAACAGAACAAACGCATGATCTGTCTGACAGGAACGAATGAATCGCGCTACAGTATGCCCGAAAAGATTAGTCGGCGTCTGTGAGTTGCGGCTATTGGCAGGGCTGCACCGTCAGGTGGGTGAACCTAATCGAGGTGCCCCTAACTGCCTGTCGCGTTTTGCAGGTCAGAAGGTTTACGTGAGGGGCCTCTGTGGCATTACCAGCCGGCCCTGCTGGGTACGAGTGGAGCTGCTCACGCACATCAGGATAGCAAAAAATGGCGGAGGAGGCCAAAGTAGCGGTGGCGGCGGAAGCGACGGTGGTGGCAGTGAGGTTGGCAAGGACGGGAGCTGGTTGGCTGCCCCTACAAATGCAAGCTTGACAAGCAGCGAAAGCGTGTACGGCAGCAGTGAAGGCGCCGGAGGTACCGAAGGAGGCGGAGGTGATGGCGGTGTGTTGCCCCCCGGGGTGGGTATCTTCCGCGGTGACTCGTAGAGCAAGAAATGTCACAACTCCCAAGCTTCCCACCATAGGAACCTTTGCAAGGCCGTTGCCGCAACCGCCATCAACCAACTATCAACCTCTGCACGTAGGTTGCCTCTCCCACAGCACCACATGAGCGCGATCCTACATGCCGGCTATCATCAGAATTCACTCGCAGCAGCTGTGCGGCGGCTTCTGATGGCCCTGGTGGCCCGCATGGCCCCACACGACACGACACGTCTCCATCGGCCCTGCAGCCGCGGCGGCTTAGGGTTTGCGGAAGGGTCTTAGGGTTTTTTGCTGAACTTTCGGCCCCCTTAATGTGCCCTTTTCTTCCACGGAGTAGACCTCCGGTGGATCGTGGTGGACTTTCTTCCATGCCGGACCAGACTTGCCTGCACCTCGCTCTGTAGGCATTTCACTCGCGTGCTTCTGTTTTTTGTCCCCCACGTTACGCTTTCCCCCTTCCCCCTCTCCACCTTCGGCTGCTGCAGACGGCTGCAGACAGGCCGTCCCCTTCACCACCACCACCAGTACCAGGATACTTTCCACCGCCATCCCCACCGCCCAGCATGCAGGAGGAGTCACCGCCACCCCCACCAAACACACCGCCGCCATCAGCACCACCTCTACCTCCTCACCCAACCCCTCCTGCGCCTTCACCTTCCCTTTCAGCACTGCCGCCACAACCTAGCCCCCAAAGAAACCCCCAGCCGCCGCGACCGCGGGATCAGTTGCCTCCCCGCCCGCAAGATAGCAAACCCCAGGCCAGCCCCCCGTTGCCCGCATATCCCCGGAACTCATCCAAAACACCCAGCAGTCAACCTGGGACCCTCCCAGGCTCCCCACCTAAAGTCCTGAAGCCGCCAAACCCTCGACCACCTCCTTCACCGCGCCGCTCCCCGCCGCCCAGGCCTCCCCCGCCTCTCAGCCCACCACCCCGGCAGATCCCGCCACCGAACTTGCCAAGGCCTAGCTCACCGCCGCATCGCACCCCTCGACCACCGCGCCCAAACAACCCCCCTCGTCCCAGCCCTCTGCCTCCGCGTCCAAGCCCCATGCCACCACGCCCGGCCCGCTCACCGCCGCGCCCGAGCCTCCCACCTCGCGGTAGTCCTCTGCTGCGGCGGCCCAGTCCCCCACCTCCCACCCGCTCCAGTCCGTTCCCACCTGTTCTCAGTCCTCCATTCTCTCCCACCCGCCACCGAACCCAAGCCCGCCTCCATCGCGTCCCAGCCCGCCGCAACCAAGCCCAAGCCCTCTTCCACCCTCCAACCCGAACCCAAGCCCCCCTCCATCGCGTCCCAGCCCGCCGCAACCAAGCCCAAGCCCTCTTCCACCCTCCAACCCGAACCCAAGCCCCCCTCCATCGCGTCCCAGCCCGCCGCAACCAAGCCCAAGCCCTCTTCCACCCTCCAACCCGAACCCAAGCCCCCCTCCATCGCGTCCCAGCCCGCCGCAACCAAGCCCAAGCCCTCTTCCACCCTCCAACCCGAACCCAAGCCCCCCTCCACCCGACCACAGCCCGCCGCAACCAAGACCAAGCCCCTTCCCACCAAACCCAAGGCTGCCAGGCCATCCCAGTTCACCACTACACCCCAGCCCCAGTCCCCACCCGCCGAGCCCCAGCCCGCCGTACCCCAAAAACCCGCCACCCCAGCCCCGGAAGCCGCCGCCGCCACCAATGCGACTCAGCCCCAGCCCGCGCCCTCCAACGGTCCGATTTCCCCCACTACCGCGGCGACCGGCGCGGCCGTCACCGCCACCGTATACACCCGCCATGCGGAACCAGTTTCCAACATTTCAGGAGGCGGTCGAGGGCTTTTCGGAGATCTCCTTTCGGCATCCCCCGACCCCACCCTGGGGAATTGTGCCCGACATGATGAGGATTATGGTGCTTGCGGTGGATATCTGTGGTATTGAGTCTTCGGCAAACATGACATTTATGCAGGTGAGAATTGCAAGCGGCGGCCGGAAGCAACCTTTTGCTTGCCAGGTTGGGTCCGCGGGCCGCTTGACAAAAGCGAGTTGTTCGTGTCAAAGTAAATACTCAGTCCTTTGATGGTGCGGCCGTCACAGTCTCACTTCAAGCATGCATGCTACTGAAGCAAGGAAAAGATGGATACTGCGGGGGCAGCTAGCTAGCTGAGGTTTGCCAAGGTAGGGTTGGTAGGGTTGGCTAGCTGAAGGACTCGGAGCTCGCTCTGCTCTTGGGATGCTCTGCTAGGTGCCTTCGCTCAATGACAGCGACATCATTCATCCACAAATAATATAGTGTCAGGGGCCAAAGTCCCATCCGCAGCAGCAGCTGCGACACAAGCTAAAACGGCAACAGTAGCAGGGTCAACTTTAATAAGTCATACACAGCACCGGCTTGCACTGCCTCTGGGTCAGGCCCCTAGGTTTCCCTATGTTGTGGAAGTTGACGAAGCCGGGACCGGGGCCGGGACCGACACCGACAATGTTGTTGTAGGACTCTGGGTTCGGGTGATCCTCTTCTTCCCACACTCCAGTCTTGCGCGACACGAGTGTCACTATTGCCCCTTCCCCACACCCTGGGGGATCATCCTTTTTATCTTTTTCTTAAGCCTTGTCACACTGTCTTGCGCTGTGCTGTGATGTGATGTGATGTGATGCAGTGTGCTGAGGTGTAATGCATTTTCCTGTGCTATACTGAGCTTGACTTAATTTGCTATCGCTGTGCTGTAATGTGCTGCTGAAACCCGCTTTTGCATGAATGCTGTCTTTGCATGCATCATCTTCCCGCCCCCCCCACACACCCACACACCCACACACACTCTCTCTCTCTCTCTCTCTCTCTCTCTCTCTCTCTCTCTCTCACACACACACACACACACTCTCTCTCTCTCACACACACACACACACAGAGTCTACCACACTGCCATCACCGGTTTATGCACACCGGCTGTGGGCGTCCGCGCAGGAAGTATGGGCGACAGACATACGCCCGTTTTTTGAGAAGGGCTCCTTCGGCGACCTCTCAATGCCCGCCAACGTCAACTTCACCCGCGTGGTGCCTTTCCATGTGTCCATCCCCTGCTCAGGTCCGAAGTCTCCGAACCTTAAAACCGTCCGTCATGGTATCAACGGGGTTTGAGGGCTTCTTTGCTAGGGACTGTTAATGGAAAACTAGGGGGGATGAGGGGGAGCCCCATGCGCTGGTTTCGGGTGAATTGTGTCGGAGAATGTAGGGCGGGTTGGCGATATCTTGTGTGGGGTGGTGACACTCCGGTAGGCTGACTCAGGTATATATGTACCGCACCGGGTCGGTTTGTTGTACTGTACTAGAATTATTGCCGGCCGTCCCTCCCCAGTCCATGACCTCAAACCTGGATCCAAATCTAAGTCCTAATCGGATCTTTTTTTTTGAATTGTTACATAGTGGGAGGCTTCTGGGCCACTTGAACACATTGTCATTTCTACGATTTATCACGCCATCCAGCACCATTCACCATTACCACACTGTACTACGCCGTACGAACTGGAAGTCCAAGGCGATTGATCCTGCCTTCTAGGATCCTTCCTCATCATTTCACCCGAACATCCGAAGAGACAGAGGGTTCAGCAATCGCCACCAATCCAGCGTGCGAATCTCGATCCATCAACTGTGACCTCAACTCCACATCTCAGCAGCTAGCCATAATCTCACGCTCCCGACAATGTCGGGGTCTCCCCAGGAATCGAACCCAGGACTTTCAGACCAGCCCTATTTAACATACTCACAAAGCCAACCATTTCAATCGACCTGGAGTGCTGCAGGGACAAGCTCTCGCGGTGTGCGCTGGTCAGTCACCAGCACGCCAGACGAAGGCATTCTCTCGGGCATGGCGGAGGCGGCGGATTCCGCAGCCAAGGTACGGCAGACGGGGGCTCAGCTCAACCTCATAGCGTAGAACCAGCGTGCCGTAATGATAAAATCCACATGCATAGATGTCCGCATTACTGGCTAATAGCCTGTCTACCAGCCTAGCAGCCTACCTTGTCTGCATAATAGCCAGCCTAGCTTTCCATCTATCTGTCAGTGCTGATTCCTCACGATCTCCTCAGGCTGTAGTGATGAATGCGGGTATCGCGAATCCGAACGGATCGTTGTTGGTGCTGCCCGCAACCCAGTATTGTATTGGCCACAGAAGTCCCTGAAGAGCTCAGGAAAAAGCCTTTAGCACCGTGCCACGGCTCTGGCAGCACCAGGCAATCATGGACATTCCCCTGGCCCCTCTTCCTAAGGAGAAGCCCTAATCACGGCCACGACGGGGCCATGGTTAATAAATAGGTCACATAGCGGGAATCTGTCAACCAGGGTGTTAGGGTTAACGCGGAGAAGCTTCACACCTCCGCCGCGCTGCAATTCCACAGGGCAAGAAGATATGATGAATAGTCTATATTTGCAACACTCAACAGGAGAGAAAAGGCTTCACCGTGACACCAGCGGGGCACCAAGGGACCTCTTCCTGTACGAGGTCTGGGGAGGCACCCGGCCACCTGTGAAGGCCCGCGGATTTAACGCGGTGATGCAGGCCTCATGCACGACAAGACAAGAAAAGCAGCCGCATCCATGCATATCCTGTAGCCTGGGCGTGCGGCGCGGCCTTTCCCCAGGTCCTCGCTCTTCAGAATACTCACTTAGATGTCGCGTGCTTTCCGGGGGTTCGATTGGCTCGACTTGCTTCTGCAGGCTCTTGGGATCCCCGCGGACCGCTACGACACAAGGGTTTACCTGCTACCAGATGTGATCGGTAGCAGTTCCTGGGGCACAATAAACTGCCCTTACAGCCCTTTGCCGGTGCGAGTGTGGACTGGCGCCGTCTCAGGCTCTAACGGTAAGCTGGACAGTTAGCTGGTCAGGAAGAGGCCTCTTGACTGTCAGGCAGTGAACGTGGGAGATATGTGCGAGGGGAATCCGCCCCGTTCAGGAGAAGTCTGCCTGTCAGCGATAGGCAGAGAGTCACTGTGCCTTCGTTGTTACCTTGTTCCCCCTCTTACCTGCTGCATGCCCCTCCCCTCGGTTGTGTGCCTGTTACTGAACTACTGAGCTGTGAGGAAGAGATGGGCAAAGCAAGGGCAAAGGAGTAGGTTCTCCTTTGTTCCATTATTTATCAGGTCTTTCACGTTCGTGCTCTACCAGTTTGCCACCCGCTGTATGTCACCCGCTTTTTCGGGTCCATCACCGTTTCGGGTCCATCAGCATGAGGACGCATCCACCCGCTTATAGTCTTAGAGAAAATTTAAACCGCTCTTTATCGGGACTGAACCTAAACTCTTGCAGGGACACCATGCCACGCCTTATTAGCATATTTGCTACATCTGGGACCATCCATAAAATAATGTGCCTGTCATTTATCTGCCCCTGCAGCCCAATTGCGGCTCCTTGTGCATGAGATGGGACACAACCTTGGGCTAATGCACTCCAGGGTGCGTACTTGTGTACGGCGAATGACACAGTTGTCGTACAGGACGTGCAGAATTGCGCCAGCAGGCCTTCGTCCTGGTCTACATTATCATCCCTCACGGACTTATGCCGGGTTGGGGCCCCGGACAGGTTAATTAGGTGGCTTCGGGCGGAACGTAATTACTAGGCACCCTGCCGCAAAGCCCTGAGGCAGGCCATGGGGCTGGTTAAACGTAACGTATGCGCGGGGAGAAAATAAGTTAAAATGTGTTTTAGCTTGCATGTATTGCCAGGGGTTTTGGGAACCTGGCCATATCCTAATGACAATCCTTGCTTCACATTCCCTGTTACAACTGCTGCAGGGGTACGACGAGAATGGTGTACTACTTGAGTACGGCGACGAATCTTGCCCCATGGGCTTCGTACAAGTCCCCACGCATTACAACGCGGCACAGAGCGTGTGGCTAGGCTGGACGGTCCCTCAGGAGGTTTTGGGAGCGGATAACCTCCTACCAGGTACGGATCTGTACAGCCACTGATCCACTGAGCTCAGCGCAACCTCCCCGCCATACATGCACGCCATGCAAACTCCCCGTGCTGTCCGATTATTGCCAGTTTTCCGCCCACCCAGAGCTCACAAGCAGCCCGCGGCCGCTGGACAGTGAATCTGACGGGATCACTGATGCTCCCCGTTACCAAACCAAACCCAGTATACAGGACGACAGCATAAGCCTGAAGAGTTACAAAGGCGTCACCTCGTCCGCGTCACGGTCTGGAAACCACCCGAACCCGCCAGTGGGGAGTGTCATTCCCCATCACCCGCCCATCACTCGTTAGGGAACAGCATAGGCACAGCATAGGCAACCTGGGGACCCGGGTAAAAGTTGCTGAGGGGGAGTTCGCCACCATCGGGGGACCCCTCCTCATTGTCGTGGCCCCCATGAACTCGCGAGCTCTCCTAGAAATCAGGATTGGCAGCTCAGATGGCAGCCCACAGCCCGATTGGCCACGTAAGACATGTCCCATGTGGGCTCACTTCGCGTCTCTTCCACAGCGACCTGTTGTACATCAATGCACAAGCACAACGGTCAGCACTCGGGGTCCATTATTCGTCATTACTCGCTCATCGCTTCATAGATCCCAATACCGAGCTGCGCTCGCCCCACCTACCCACCTACCCACCTACCCACCTACCTCGCCGCCTGGTCTGTCCTGGCGGCCTTCAGGCACATGGACAACCTTTGCACTGCGGGGCCTCGCGGACTCGCACTTCAGTTCGTTGCAGGTTCGTTACAGGGGGGAAAAGACGTCACGGCGAGAATCCGGTCGATGTCGTGTTTTGCGCGGGGAGGGGAGGGGAGGGGACGCGAGTCGTTCCAAAAACCTGCATGCCACGTAAGTCGAACGCAATCCTGCGCAAGGGGAAACGCTGCCTTCTGGACATTTTTTTACGCTTTTCTGCTTCAGAGTTTTTGGCATTTTTTGTAACTCAGTTAACCAACAAGTGAAGATCAGGCCGATCGGCAAGGTTACTAGCCCAGGAGAGGCTTTCCATGCGCCGGGTAGACTGGATGTAATGGTGGCGCCATCCTGGTCCCAAGGACTTGCCTAGGAGAGCGCAACATACATACATAGGGAGACATGGCATGTACGCCACACTCACAAATACACACATACACACACACCTCCAGCACACACTCACATATCTCCACACACACTCACACACACACACATTCTCTCTCGCACACTTACATATATATCCACATACGCACCCTTGCCCTGGGATGCAGATCTTGCCGGGGACTTGGATGTCCAGCGGCTGGGGCGCCAGTGATAAGCTGTATGTCAGCTTCCGCCGCCAGACCGCCACAAACACCGACGCAGGGCTGGCGGCGCCCTTCCGTAACAAGGTCCAGGTCCACATGCACGGCTACGGGTCGCAGGGCTGCACGTCCCCAGTGCTACTCGCAACCCTGGACGTCCCCGCAAACGATGTCAGCTGGGGCAGTCTCTGGCCGAGGCCAGGCAGTACACTGCCCCAGGACGCGATCTCTCCGCTGCTCGTAGTGCGGGTGATGAGGATCGATCTGGTGGTCGGCGTAGCGCGAGTTGCGTTGTGCAGGTGCGTGATGAAGGGGCGCTGGTTTTGGCGATCTGGTGACGTTGGTGGTACCGGTTGCGGTAGATGGTAGGCAGCCCTGTAGCGGCACCTTACAGGAGTGGAAATTCTCCATTGGGTTCCGTAATGGGAGGTGCTGGCTTCATGAAATTCACCTATGGCTAGCGTAAAGCTGCCCCTACTTAAATTAGATGCCCTTTTACAAGAAAGCGAGGCTGTACTCGTGATTGTGGCTATAGTTGCGGTCCTACTCCAGGCTGAGTGCCCAGTGTCAGGCCGGGCAACTTCGGGGTATGGGCGTTTTGACTCCCGACGTTTCAGTACCCCGCATGCAGCAAAGCCAGCCCCTCTCTTTTACCTCGGTAATGGCAAACGTTGCAGGGCTGAGCAGTTCGAGCCGGAGTCCGGCAGTCAGTGCTTTGACAACGTCGACAACGATTGTGACGGCCTGGTGGGTGGGTTTGTGTGGGTGTCCTTGTGTGGCGACTCGTCTGGTTTGAACGTTTCCGCCGGTTCTTTCCTCGATCTTATTAAGAGGACCGAATGCCATTTCCATAACCTACCTTCCCTAACCTGTCCGTGCCTCCCGTCTTGAGTCGCATCTTTCCGTCGTTTGTCTGCTGGCATCCTCCCTGTGTCGCATGTTATCTGCTTGCTGCTGGTCTTCATGGTATTTTGAGTGAAATTTGTTAGGGCTTCGTCGGACGAGTGTGGTTGTGTGTGGTTGTGTGCGATTGTGTGTGGTTGTGTGTGGTTGTGTGTGGTTGTGTGTGGTTGTGTGTGGTTGTGTGCGATTGTGTGCGATTGTGTGTGTGTGTGTGTGTGTGTGCGTGTGTGTGTGTGTGCGTGTGTGTGTGTGTGTGTGTGTGTGTGTGTGTGTGTGTGTGTGTGTGTTAGTTACACCTTGATTAGCAAAGCGCCTTACCCTCAAAAGGTGTACCGGGTCCATACGGAGCCGAGGGCCCTAGGGCCCTAGGGCCGAAGGCTATCCGAAGAAATAGATAGATATCGAAAAAGACGACAGTCGTACAGCGATCCCCTACTGTTTGCGTGGCATTTCACTCGTGCAAAATTATAGCAACTTTGAAATTCACGTAACGTTTCACATTCCCCAGGTTGATAACTGTTAAGCCTGGTTAAGCTGGCTCATTGCTGAGGAGGGAGGTGCAGCATGTTCAACGACATTTGCGCGAAAAAGTCATGACGCGAGCGAGTATTAATCATGCCAACTTCAACCATCGTGCGCAGGGCAACTTATAAGTAAATAGGAAACGTTTTGCTGTGATGGCAGGAGGCCTGTACGTGTCGCGTAGCCTCCGAACCGAAGGTTGCTAAATTAAGCAATCTCAAGTGTTTCGCGATGCAGTTAGAAGTCGCAAGGCTTCAGCGACTGTCACCATATAAATACAGCAGGCTGTGACTTTTCATGAAGGATCGATGATTATCATTGCATTCCCCGTCCTTGTTTTCAGTAGAGTCGTCCGTCAAGTCCTCAGTAAGGGGCAGCGGAACTCTGTTTGTTGCTTCCGCCATTTCTTAAGAACTGGCGGGCCGCGATCGGCGCGCGTTGCGTACAATATGGTTGAATGGTAGCAGTGACGCTGTAGGAAAGCGCGCTGGTGTTTTTCCCTCTGGGCTTCAGTCGCAGATAGGAAGGAAAGATCAGGAAAGGCGATCGCCGAAGCGAACCGGCAGTCGATCTTCCCCGACGGACAGTCGGGATGTTGTTAGCTGCAGGATAGGAATTCATATGCACTGCTAAGGGCGGTATTCCAGTCTCTGAGTTAAGGCCCAGAGGTGACTTTGTTGAGTTCACCATGCCATTTGCATCGGACCACTACTTTGGCCGTCTTTTTTGACATGGTTCCCTTTGTGGCGCCTTTGCCACGTACATGTATTAATCTTTCGGTTAAGGCTTTGATACGTTTATTTACTAAGGCGATGCTTAGCTAGGACATAAATTCGGGGGTGTTCGGGGAATACATGTGTTCAGTTCAGTTCCCGGATCCAGAGCATATTGATAATGCGTTATTCAAGCTTGCACCTTGCATTTGGTCCTTGCATTGCGTGATATGTCACAAAGGTACAGGAGGCGCGCAGGAGTTGCAGCGGAGGGATGATCAGGGTGGCGTAGCGTAGGACGTCGACATCCTCGCCGCTTAGCCACGTCAGCGTCAAAAATGCAGTGCAGTCGTACACTGCCATACATTTTATCGAACGGGAATAGGTAGCCCACAACCAAGGAGGCACCTCTTTGCATGTCAGTGCGGGTTAGCGTATTGTAGTTGTGCCGTGAGGCAGCATAAGCTATATAGGGTTAGGCATTACTGGTAACGGAGATCCCGGGATCGAGACCTGTCAGGGTCGAAAATCCTTCCGATGGTGGACGGTATTGCGCCCCTAGTTGATGGACGGTGGTGACCTGGGATAAAGTTAACTTACGAGCTGATCAGGAATGGAGTTGGGCCGCTGTCGGTCCGGTAGATTCCGTTGGATGCTGGTGGTGGGTGCGGAACCTGAGCGATCCACTGAGATGTTGACTAGGGTGACTGGATGAGGGTGCCCCGATACACCGGGGAAGGCAGGGTTTCGCCGGGTAGCGGCCACGGGTTAAGATATGCCCCCCTGTTCCACACCTTTAAGGACAGTCCCTGGGGCATGCGCGCCGGCAATGCACCGGGCTTCTGGCATATACTGACTCCCGACTATGTTGCAACTTGAATTCTTTGGCGCAGAGCGGGAAGGGAGGCGTCAAGGGGGCGCCGTGCCGAATCGGACGTATGAATAGTACAGATGTTACTTCTTATCTTTGCCGGAATCTGCAAGCCACCGGACAGGAGCCATGCATGAGTGGGCATTCGTCCAATGTGCCTGGAAGAAAGTGCGTCATCACCGCTTTTCTGCTCACCCTCGGCAGGCACCTCTTTTCCCCCGCACATACGGGTTTTTCCGTACACATGCCGCCGCCATGCACACACATGCCAATCCATCCGCAGCTCGTTATGACAGACTCATGCTCAGCTGGCCCGCTGGCGGCAGCGTGTTTGCATGGAGGAGAGGGGAGATCTTCATCCGCTTTAGGGGAAGAAGAAGAGACTTTGGTTCATCCCCTTTAGGGGTTGCGAGACGGGGACATGGGAACCCCATCTCCCGGCGGCCTCCTCAGCTCTGGTCGACACGGGTTTCTTCTTATCCTTTACCTCCTTCAACAGAGTAGGCATGGCGGGGGTGTGGGAGTGGGAGTGGGAGTGGGTGAGTGAGAACATCTTTCGTAATATCCCCCGAAATGAAATCCGTGGTCGCCGTACTACCGTATCTCCTGGGTTCTTACCTTTCAAAAGATGTTTGTTCAAGGGGCAAGGGGAGAAGGGAAGAGAGGGGAGGGGCGCCCAGCTAGAAATATAAAAAACGCTGGGAGCAGTTGGTCGGGAGAGAGCGAGGAGAAAGGTCCGTTAACCCTTCGGCGTGTTTCTTGACAAGTGTCCTGTTGCGCGGCTGCTGTGGGCTGTTGCACTTCTCGGGCAGTTTCCTGGTCCTGGTGCGGTTTAATAAGCTGTCAGAAATAATAACGATGATGATGTTGATTGATCGGTTATTCAGGTAAAGGTTGCAATTGCTGGACAAGCCCAGGGGAAGGTGGTATGTCTGGAATGGAGGCAGCAGTGGCGAGGATGGAGGAGCCCCTCATTTTAGTTGAGATGATTGACGGAAAAACTTGTAACGGCAAAACACTTGGCAACGAGTCGCATTATCCTGTGGCGTAACTTTGATCCAGATATTTACTCACTATTACTACATACAATTTGATGTATAGGCATTTTCCAGCTTCGAAAAGCTCATAATATTTAGCGGCAAGGATTAACGAGACGAAACGCGGAGTGCAGTGCGAGGAATCGTTCTGGCTGCCGCTAGAGGAATTTCATAGATGAATTTCATCCATTCCTCTGTTTTGTGTGTCGCGGTGTTGGACGGGATCCATGTCAGTCGGCATCCAGGGGCTGAAGAAGTCTCAGAAATAAAAGGCATGGCACAGCCCATCCTCTTACCACCGGTCATCACCGTCCTCTCTCCCCCCCACCCATTCACCATCTCTCGCATAACCGCATAACCGATCAATTAAAATAACCCGAAATAGAATCATTATGTAAAGACAATGTATCCCCTGCACATGCCCAAGGATCACCCAAAGAGTTGCTTGGTCAGGCAACACGCCACTTCCTTGGGGCGGCCACCAGCAGTGCACCACCACGCCAATCTGCTGTCCCTCGGCCCTCTTTCCCCCCCAAAGCCACAAGAACATGAGCTATGCAGCTAGCCATGGAGACGGGAAAACAACACATCATGCGACCCTTACCCCCGTGGCGGAACCTTTTACCCTGTGGTGCCGTACCCTGTGGTGCCGTACCCTGTGGTGCCGTACCCTATGGTGACCCACCTCACCTCACCCACAGGTAGGTGAAGGTGGGTGGCCATCAACAGTCACGATGTAGCACTCCACCTACCCCTTGGGCCGCACGGGGGCACTTTCCCCCCCCTTTTCAGGAGGACCTTTGTCCTGCTCACTACTGCTCGTTGTTGCCTGTCGTGTATGTCGTACCATGTATCAACGTATTTTCTGCTCTAATAAACTGTTAGTGTACGGCCATTGGTCGACCGCAATGGATACGATGTATGACGCGGCCGCCTTCACGAGTCCACGTGTCGGAGGGCTTTGTTGGATTGGTGCTGCCCAAACTTCCGAGACATCCCCAGATCGCGATCCCAACCCCGGGGGACACACCTGTTTGCCGTGCTGATGTCGTCAACACACAAACAGACATACAGACAGACACCCAGGTAAAGACAACGTGTGTAGTTGTGTGCGTGTGGTGGTTACATTGGTCTCCAGACTCGTGTGAAGGTGGGAACCAGCTGGCCAGCTGGGTTTCCCACTCTCCCCAGCAGCACCACGTAGCGAACCTGTCAGCGGTCCGGAAAGACACGTCATCCCCCACACCGTTGAAGGCGAGCGCTGCGCTGTTCTCCCCCTCCCCCCCCCCTCCCCCCCCACACACAGGGGTACAAAGAACAGGTGTGGCACAGGTCTGTGCCGCAAGGCCTTTGGCCCTTGTAGTGGACGTTACACGTGCGTGGACCCCCGCGTTCCCTGCCGCCCCCACCCGGTGTCAGTCAGGCCGGGTAAAACCCAACCCGCATTCCACAACCCACCAGTACCGTCCGAAACCCCTCCACAGTTATATCCATCATAACGCATGAGGTTTTGGACGGCTCCGAAAACTGACTGCTGGCGGGATCCGAATTCATTATTCAACTCTCTGTTCGACGCGTGGAAATGCCGGCCCTGTCCTCCAAAGAGGGGCTCCTCGCCCCCGCTTTGGCGCGTGCACGAGTGAGGTGCGCATGGCAGGTTCCAGGGCTGCTCTCAGGTTATCGGCCGAGAGTTTCCGTTTGGTCGTTTCCTAAAACCCCTCTCCTTTCTCCATGCCCCGCGTGGAAGCCCATCCTTGCTCAGCTCCACCCCCCACACACACAAGACCTCGTGTGTCCTGAGCTCCTCACCGCAGTAACCGCACCGCACTGCGCACCGCCCCCACGCAGTAAGAGATTAAGAAAGGACATGGAACACAAGAAACAGCACTCCTGCAGTCCCCCCAGTCCTCCCCTCCCCAACACCCTGCAGCAACACCACACGATGTGACACACATACAAACATACGCACACGCGCACACCCACACGTTAGAGCGCCCTTTTCCGCTCAGAATACACATACACAAGCACAAACACATGCGCGCACACACATTTCCTGCACTGCCTTGCCGGATACGCTGACACATAAATGTCATCCACCAGAGTTGAATAGATAAATCACATGGGCCCATATCGCTATTCGCGCAAGCCGACCCTGTGGACGCGACACACCACCACGGTGCGGCTCGGACGTTACCCGTGCCGCTTTCTCCCCTCCCCCCTCCCCCCTCCCCTCTCCTCCCCCCTCCCCTCTCCTCCCCCCTCCCCTCTCCTCCCCCCTCCCCTCTCCTCCCCCGTCCCCTCTCCTCCCCCCTCCCCTCTCCTCCCCCCTCCCCTCTCCTCCCCCCTCCCCTCCCCTCCGACCGCGCGATGTGGTCCGCCCCGGCCGCCAGAACACCGCCAAAAGTGAGAAAGCACACACCGGGTTTTAGGGTCCGACGACACATGCGAGGGTGATGGTAGTGGTGGTTCTGGGCCGCAGGCGGCTGGAGACAGAGCAGAGACACGACTGTGTATTCACGAGTGTGTTCACGAGCGTGTGTGTGTGTGCGTGTGTCTGTGTACTGTGTGTCCGAGTGGTAACCCTCCCGCCGCCGGTGTCCCCGCCAGCTTTTTAATGGCCTTCATAGACCAGAGCCGTTCCGTGACATTCCGGTGCTACTGCTGCTGCTACCGCTACTGCAAGGATGCTACCGCATAAGCGGTTCCCTAACCCGCAATAGATACATACAGACAGACATACACTCGCGCCGCCACGCAAATTCACACACACGCGCAACCGCGCGACGCTGCTCCACAACGGCCGCTCATGGTAAGAAATCACCGACCCCACTCCGCCCGCTCACAAACCAACCGAGGGGTGATCACCAGCGTGGTGTGTACCACCGCAAGGACACAAGGACCGGCCAGAGGGGCGATCGACAGCCGTACGGCGGTAGCAGCCGCCATGATAGCAGTAGCTGCGGCAGCAGTAGCAGCAGCGGGACGGTGTCCTTCCCAACGGCAACAACACCCACAGCCCTAGACCTCCGCCGCCATCCTCCTCATCCTCATATCCTCATCAACCGCCATCGCCATCGTCTTCATCGTCGTCGTCACCCTCTGGAAGCCGGCGCAGCGGCACTGGCAGCCGCGGGGGCTCCGAGGGGGTCGTTCGGTTCCCAAGCGAGCTCGGAGCTGCACGCGATTGCGCTCGATGACTCAAGGAGCTCGTCCCGCACCTAAACACGAGTTTGTGTACGGCACAGACAGGTACACAGACACAGATACAGATACCCAATGGAGACGAGAGACTGCAGTACTACAGTGTATTAACGCATTAGGAGATCGGAAGAGCAACAGTCAGTTAAAAGGAGTTTAGAGGATTGACGATGACGATCAGCACTTGGGGGACGGAAACACGCAAAGCGGACGGAAATACGCAAACAAGATATGTGTGGTGTCCACACCGCGGGGTGTCCACAAAGCTCCTCACCCTCCTACACACACACAAACATGGCCGGCCACGCCCACCAATGCACCCTTGCGTTACTCCGGCCGCCGTTCCCATCTCCCAGTACGGCCCAACCCCTAGGGCATCTCCTCACCCCACCCCACCCCACCCCACCCAACACACCTGCATGAGCAGCCGGCCCAACTTGTTCTGTCCTGTCCTGTCGTACCCAGCTCCCCAGTAATAGTCATGTGGACTAGCCTCAACAAGATCATAGCACATAGCGCCGCCGTCGGCAGCGCCGCCGCCGCCGCCGCCAGGCGCTGCCGCAGTCGGCGGCGCCGGCAGCGGACCCACCCCATTAGTCGCCGATGGCGATGGCGACAACACGCCCGCCGTCGCAAGCAACATCGCCCTCGGTCCCGGGTGGGTGGAGAACTTGGCCCGCAGCGCCGCGTGCATAAACGCGACCTTGGCAGTGGCCCAGTCGCGGCGGAGGAGCTCCGGTCTCGTACGTTCCGCACGGCGGCCGATGCGTGCAGCTTCCTCCGGTGACGGCGCCGCCGCTATGGCCTCCATCACCGCCGCCGCGTCTTGATGATGTCCACCAGAGAACTTGTGCGCCTGGTAATAATGTTCCACGCTAGCCCATCGTCGCGTGGCGGCGCCGCCGTCGCGACCGCCACTTGTACTGCTGACGGCGCCGCTGCTCGCCCGGTCGTCTCCAGAACCAATGGCGGCACTGCTACTGCTACTGCTGCGCGTGCCGTTGCTTTCCGCATGACTGGTGGTGGTGCAACTATTCGCTGCGGACGTGGCGGTGGCGGCGGAGGTTGCCGGTGAGTCGGTATCGCCCAACGGCAGCTCGACGGGCATGACGATTGGATGCGGGGAAAAGTTGGACAAGGCGCCCCAGCGGTCCCAGGCCTTGTAAAACGCGACCGACCGGCTTTGAGGCGAGCCGGGACCTCGCCTCCGCTTCGCCGCGATAGCGGACCCAGTCTTGGCGCCGCCACCGCCTGCTGCCGCGGCCGCAGCGGCCCCGCCGTCACCTCCGCCAGCGGTTGCGCCAGCCATTTTCCCCGGCGCCGGTAGATGTACGGAAGGTACGGCAGCAGCGTCGGCGGCAGTTTCCTCGTCCGCCGCCTCCAGCGCGGCTTCCAAGGCCCATAGCCCGCCGCTGGCGGGCATGTAGCCGGTCATCATTAGGTCCGGTCCAACCTACAACCGACAACGGACCAATAAATTAGTTAACGTAGAAACGAGAACCAACCAGCGCGACGTGCAGATGCACGATAATTGCTCCCTCGTTCGCGATCTCGCTCCCTTGCTCGGCCCCTCGCTCACTCCCTCCCCCCCTCACTCACCCACTCGCTCACCCACTCGCTCACTCCCTCACACCCCACGCGGCCCACACCCACCCACCTGAGACCAGGAGGTGTCCGACAGCTCCACAGCCTGGGTCATCTCCACGAAGCCCAGCTCACCCACCGGGGTAGGGGCCCGCACGCCGCCGATGATCTTGGGCGCAACAAAGGCCATCACCTGCAAGCCAACAACAGCATACACGAGTTGTCGTGTGTATTTAAAAAAATTACATGTATATACATATAATGCTGCGTGCATATATACGTGCGATAATTACCGCCAAGAGCCGAACTCTGGCCAGCCCAAAGTCCGCAAATCCGCGAGCCACTAACGCACCTTGTGCACTACACCCGACGCGATGGTGGGTGCCGCCAACGTGCCGCCGCACTCCCAAAAGCACTGCAGGAAGCCCCGCTCCTGGCAATAATCCGCCACGGACTCGGGCGTCAGAAAGTCAAACTCCACCACCTCGACGCCGGCGGAGCGCAACGCAGCCTGGAAGCGCGTGCGGGCGCCGCGCTGCGTAAGCACGATGGTGGGTGCAAGCGTCACGTCCCACAAATTGGCGTCCTGTGCGAGAAAGGCGATCGTGGGGAAGAAGGGGGGAGAAAGAAACACGCGGGCGCAAGTTAATGCTCAGTGTGCTAGAAAAGTGACAGCACGGACACGAGGGGTCCTGCGGCCGGAAAAGTAGTCACACCGAAAGAGATACAGAAAACAAATGCATTCATTCCATGCCTTGCTGTAACACGGTAACAAACAACTCGCCAAAAGGTCCTAAGAAGATCGATCCCCCTTGATTTCTCCCGCCTCCCAACTCCCTCCCCCTAAGAATGCAACCCAGCAGCAGCTGGACAAATAACCGAGGAATCCATTGTGGCCAACTGTCTGGGGCTCCTCCACACACCCGAAATCCATGTCCACACCCCCAACCCCCTTCCTCTACCACGGCCCCTCGCCCCTTCCTTTCCCACGGCCCCTCGCCCCTTCCTTTCCCACGACCCCTCGCCCCTTCCTTTCCCACGACCCCTCGCCCCTTCCTTTCCCACGACCCCTCGCCCCCAGACGGAACGACGGAACGAGGGGGCCCCACTCGTTGCGTACCTCCGGAAGGTCCAACGTCCTCGACATGACAATGCGCGCGGGCGTGTGGCCGCCCTCCCGGCGGGTGGTCAGTCGCGGGTTGTCACGCCGGACAGTGTTGCCGCCCACAATCACGGCGTCCGAACGAGCGCGCATCTCAAACACAAGACCCCTGCAATCAGAGCGGTTTGCAGGGATTGAACAGGGGTTCGCACGTTTCACACAAAACTAGTTTCTCAAACTAATCAAATTTAAAAAAAAAGCAAAGGATCCACAGTTTTTCATCGTTCGTTCGATACACAAAGACACAAAAGGACGCTCAGCTCCATAAAATAGCACAGCACGAAATAGCACACCTTAAAGTATTGGCAAATAAACTTTCAAAGCAAAGTGCATCGCACGGCAGTCCGTTGTGGCCCCCGATGACCCTACCTAAGGTTCTATATTCCCTTTTCCCTTAAGGTCCGGGGCTCTCGCCGGGTAGTATCTCCTTCACACCACCACGTTCCCCATTTCCCTCCGGGCTGCGAGATCATCCTCCCACCTCACCGGCTCTGAGGACTAGAGACCCAGGAGCTGTGTCCGATATTGGTGGCGATCTTGCCGTCAAGCGTCATGGCGTACTTGAGCACCCCCAGCGGCCGCCGCAACACCGACCGATGAAGCAGGGCCTCGTTGGCGGCGAGACACGCCGACATGGCGCCGTACGCAGCCGCCGACGTCGCGTCGTCGCCGTCGAAGCTGCCGCTGCCGCCACACAGCGCCGTTGCCGCGGCAGCGGCGGAGGTCAGGCCGTTGCGGCCTATGGCCAGCTCATCGGCCAGGACATCTGATGACGCAAGATGGCGCAAGAAAAACGTAAAAAAAACGTCAGAAGCCGAGAAATCTTCGAAGTAATAAAGGAAAGCACACAAGACGTCAGGAGAGGCGTTGCGAGCCCCCAAGGTCCAGGGTGAACCCCCTCCTCCCACCCACCCCCCCAAAACACAAAAACCGTCGACACCGTTAAATGGCGACCTGACAACTGCGAGGTGGGGCATGTCCGGCCAGCCTCCACTCCCTCACACTCCAGGGCCCCCAGAGTGTGACTCCCACGCCACCCGGGTTTTGGCGGACAGAGACCGCCCGTGCCATACCGCCCGTGCCATACCGCCCGTGCCATAACGCCCGTGCGCCCATTTCCCTGGGTCCAACCTTGCGCCGTGTCTGTTCTCTCCCCCCCTCCTCCCCCCTGATCTCCCTCGCCCCCAGGGTATCTCACCCACTCTCAAGCCCGACGCCCGCAGCATGCCAATGGCCCGACTTCGCAGGTGCCGTAGCGGGTGCCGCAACCCCACCACCACTCGCGACACGCCGCCGCGAACTAGGGCATCCACCGCCGCCATCTCCCCGTGGCAGTCCCCGCTCTCCAAATTTAAGTACGCCGTGGCCCCGCGAGCCGCGCCGCCGGCAGCAGTCACCGCGAGAACCTCCGCTGAGGTCGTACCCTGAAAACACGACGCAGGTAAAGTAATATATCTAAAATAACATAAAATAAACCCCTCTGGATGAAGGGTTCGTATGCTCGTACGCTCGTATGCGCGTGCCGTGTATTGTCGTACAAATAATCGAGGTCTCCCGGCTCATGTACGCGTACATGTATGAGCGGCATCAGTACGGCATAACACGTGAGCCAGCAGTACTGGCAGGACGCCAAATAACCAAATGCCGCCTCCCGCACTCCCGGCTATTGTTGTTGTTGTTATACGATGATACTTTTCTGATGATGTTTTGCTGTTGCGATGGTGCTGCAAACGACAGACTCCTAAGCGGACACAGCAACACCACGTACACACAACACACTCTCGCAGGTGCACCTGCGCCCGCTGGTACGCCTCCGATATCTTGCTGCCATCCGGGCCCACCAAGATGCAGGCCATGTTCGGGTGCGGCTGCGTGACGCCTGGCAAGGAAAGGAAAGGGGTGAGGGGGCGGGTGAGGGGGCGGGTGAGCGGACACCAGAAAGGACTCCTACAAAGGGCAAGGTCCCCGAAGAACCAATGATGCGCAACCAGGACACAACCTGCTCCTCCTCCTGCTCCACCCCGTACACGCCTCGTCGGTCGTATACCGTCACGTCCACATCTCCCTCCCGGCTATGCACAGCTTTTCTCCCCTCACCCCCTCCTCACCCCCTCTTGGGCCCCCTCACACATTCCTCGCCCCCTCTCGCTTCCGAGGAATGGACCGCCCCCTGCCCCCTCCGGCAGTAATCCACTTTGCACTACAGCGCAGTGAGTGCTCAGCCTCAGCCGGGGGACGAAAACCAGCACCGGTTCGTTATCCGGAAAGTTTTCAACACCCGCCCGCACACCGACTAGAGTGTGTGTGTTTTTGGGGGGGGAGGAGAGGGGAGACGCAACAGTGAAGGGAAAGAGGGGGGGAGAGAGGAACACCCCGGTTTGGTAACCGATAGGACCTTGTGCCATCTCTGTGCTGAGGAATGTGTGTGCCTGTGTGAATGGACCATGCTGCCCTGGCACTGCCGGCGGCTACACAAACCCTACCCTCCAGCTGGGCCCTTGGCGCCCTGATGTGGGTCGCGGGGAGGAAGGCCGTGTGAACTGGGCAACCCGTGTGCGCGTATGTATGTGTATGTATGTGTGTGGTGGGGGGGGAGGGGAAAGGGGAAAGGGGAGGGGAGCTGGTGCTCTGGTGCAGACGGCCAGGCAGAGAGGACCGGCGCCATTAGGAGACGGCGGACCTCCTCACGGCTGTCAGGAGGCGGCTGCTGGTGCTGCTGGTGCTGGCGCTGCTGGTGCTGGTGCTGCTGGTGCTGCGGAATTGCTGCTGGTGCTGGTGCTGCGGAATTGCTGCTGGGTTTAGCTGGCTGCACAGAGGCACAGAGTAACTTCACCGCAGCTTTGCGCTTTCCCCCTCTTGCAGGTGGGTGGGGTAATGGCCGCCCAACGCGAGCGCTGAGGAATGTCAAGGGATGTCACCCATCGCCTCCCATCGCCCTGGCATCAGCTTCACTCGTCTGTGGTTTGTCTATCTCCCCCCCCCAGTCGCTCTGCGGTATGTAATAATTGTTGTGCGATCTCGCTTCGTGTATCGTCGGGGGCAACGGGACAGGCTGAGGTAAGGTGAGATGAGATGAGGTGAGGTGGTCCCAGAGGTGTGCACCAGCCATGCAGCAAGTGATCGCATGCTAATGACAGATGGGATTACACAGCTTACCAGCTGCGCTCTCGGATAACTTTGCGACAGCCTCCAAATGCGCGCAATCTTGTTCTGCAAAAGGGACAGCGCGACGATCACGACATAATCAATTCCATGGCCACGTCATATGACGATTGAACAGCAATGCACGTGCTATTTTGGGTATGGCATTTGACCCTCAAACGTACTGACCTGACACGCCACGAGTTGCCCACGCTCTGCATTTCACCTGCAAAAGAAAGTCATCCCCTTTTTCTTGATGCCGTCAATGATGTCTCATGAATTTGCTGTCGGCGGATAGGCATACCCTCTGATTGACAACGCGAGGGCCGCCGCTTCGCCGGTCCACTCCCCAGCCGTCCCTGCTCCGCCAACACAAATGATGCCTATGAGGTAGCATTTTGTAATCCTAAGTAAGAATGCTCCTTAGTGGTAAAAATTGCTCCCTCTGTCCTTTCACGACCTATCCCTTGTAAACCCGATGCCGCGAGCCAGTCAGCATATGCATTTGAAACAGTGAATGAAGTACGTCGCAGCGTCAGCTAACCGAAGCCGGTCTAAAACTGAGGGGCAGGGAAGGTGTAATCATGGGCAGCACGGACATCATCACCAACCACATTTCGCGTACACATCAACTATTTTTATCCCATCTTAACTTCGACTACCTGTTATGGACTAAATAAACTATAATCTTTCTTGCAAAAACTAAGGGTGAAACTCATCATATCGCAACTACAACTAGGTAACTACTTGAGCTTTATTTTCCTCCGCCACAACCTGCGTTAGCATTGCATAACCTAAGCTGTAGTGAGGAAAGTGTGGCGCTTTTTCGCTTGAATTGGACCTTTCTTCATGGTATTGTGGCAGCTATTTTGTGCGGTGTCTGCGCAGATAACTCAACCACTTTAATGCGCTAGTATCTATTGATTGGGAGGTCTTTGATGATCTCCTGCTACGAAGATGAGCATCTGCGAGCCTGAACACGTTCTGCTTCAGTAAACCCAATTACCTACAACGAAACGCACTTTTCAGTGAAAATATGTGGATGCATAATTTACAAGGGGGACAGGGAACCAACCCTCATCACAAGCCGTACATGCTTGTGGTTGTCGACCAGCCTACCCCAGGTGCGTGATGTCTTTAGGATGCAGATCATTAAAGTGGGACAGGGAACCAACCCACGTCACTAGCCGTACATGCTAGCGGTTGACAAAAAACCAACCTTACCCCAGGGCACATACTCCCAGCGAAAAGCAGGGAGCCGTGCATCCGCAACTACCAAAAGTCCACAAACTCCCATGCTTTTAAACAAAAGAAAGGCCACGGCGTACACCCGGACTCTCGGACAGGGTGCAAGGACAAGAAGAGGGTCAAGGAGCCAAACCTCAACTTTATAGCCGAAACACACTAAAAATTCCCAACGGGAGCGGGACAGATGCAAGTATCCAAGGGGCGCCTATACCAACCCTACAGCAAGATTGCCGCCAGCTACTGAAAACGTGGGCGCACCCAGGGAGCCCTGGATTAGAACACACTACCTACACGACCTACGAACCAAAGCCACCGTCAAGCTTTACATCGTGCTCACCAGCGGTTCTACCACCAAGGGTCTGTAACACAGCACAGTACAGTCCGAGGATTGAACCCCTCAAGCATGAAGAGTCAACACAGATGTCTTTAGCCCGTTCCCTTGAACGGGCATGTTGTACGGCAGAGCGCTTAGTGATTTGGGACGGAGGCGTCGAGTTCGCGCGTTGGACGTGTACACTAAGGTGAAGGCGAATTTCCCTGCAGTAACACCGAGTGGGACGGGAGGAGTAGGAGCCACAAAAAAATAAAGCAATTTTGCGCAATTGGAAACCCGCGAACATCCTACAAGGCGTGTGGAAACCGTTAATGTCCGTGGCACAATGGAAAAATGACACATATAACCCATGGTCAGTAAGTTTCCGGCTACACATAACAGGATGTGAAGCCCACACAGCTACAGTTCGCATGGAGCCGACGGACTGTGATGTCCTAGTTCTGCGGAAAAAATGGTCTCAGCTTGCCAGCAACCACCACTGTTGTTTGTTGTTTGGCGGCGGCATAAGCATATACCTACACGCGCCCATGCCCTGGCGGCTTGCTGTCCATTCCATGCACACGATGCCACTTATGTAACACATCCTGGCCATGTGCCCAGCCATGGTAAGTCCGATCCTATGCTGAGTCTTCCTCAGCGACCCGTACCACTTGGCCTACTACCCCCTGAAGGGCAGAGTGAGGGCTTTTGTCTGTGGGGTTCAAGCTCCACAGGGCCACACAGGCGAGCAAGAGTGGCAGATTCTGTAGCGTTTGAGGGTTTGCGCAAGGATATGGGCCAAGGTGCTGCGGCGGCCTTGGGTGTTCAAAGATTACGCAGAAGAGGGACACCTGCATCGAGGATATATACCAGCCAAGGCCGAAGGAGAGGTGCATGGCATGCGCGACAGTGGCCACTCATAGACCGATTTGTTAGCTTGAACATCAAGCAAGTCGTGGAAATGAACAATAGGGAAGTGGAACCAGTGCAATCTCACCCCTCTAAACTTGGCCAGAAAATTCTTTGCTAAGCGGTGCTTCCAGCATGCGTGTAGGCAAGATGTCGATTAGTGCTTTATGTCAGAAGACACAACTACCTAAATAGGCTACGGTTTGAAAACGAATTTAAAACCGGATCGGGTAGCCATCACATCACGACGGCACCCGTGGAATATATCTACATGGGGACGCAATGGCCGGGGAAGGGGTGAGGGATATATGCAGAGGTGAGGGATTTCTGACGGAGGGAATCACAGCAGTGGATAGGATTAGCACGCGCCGTGTGATGAGTGGGAATAAATTGAAGTGAGAAAGAGAGCCATCGGCAGGTCGCGCGAGCTATCGGTGTGAAGGCGAGAACATCAGCTGATTAGCAACTTCCGAATTGTCCGCAAATCGAGCCATCGTGCTTTCCTGGGCAAAGGGTTGCGGTCCTCGTAGGCTGTTTCCGTCCGCTGTAGGCTCACCTACAACGGAGAGTAAATTGTGACGTTTTCCAGCCAGCGATAACATATCTCATCCACGGGTCCAAGCTTTGCGTTGTTGACTGGCTCGCTGCTGTCTCGTTCACATCCTTGAGGATGTTCGCACCATGCGCGGCATGCCGTCATACCTTTGTTCGAGCTTTTGCACGTACGTCCAAGGCCGGCTATGCCTAGGATTCGCGCAAACTCTGCTGGCGCGGATTCGAAAAGAACGCCCGAAAGCGCCATGCCCGAGTATGACCGCATGGCTTACGTACTTAGCTCGTTCATTTAGTTTGCTTAAAATTACTTTCGAAACGATGTCTCACATCATCATCATCAGGAGCACATGGGCCGCATTTGCAGCAGTTCGCAGCGACAAGGCTCTACAAGCCAGTTCCTCCCAATTCTGTTATCCTCTTCAGCTGCAAGCCAAGTAAATACTGATTAGTTGACTGGTTGGCCTGTTTATGCAACCTGTTGAACTACCTCAAGGAAGGCCTGGGGCTCGGCTTAGCCGACATGACCCCGGGCAGCTTTTGAACCCTCCTTCCAGCTGAAATCCGCGGTGCGGTACACACATACACGCAGATTCTCACAGTCACACCGATACATCTTTGCGCCTCGTTATTCCATTTTCACATTTTAAGCAAGCCGCACGGCTCGGTTTTGGAAAACCCGCAAATCCGTGGAGGCTTATTCCCCTGAACGACCCGCGGGTCTGTCGTCTGGTCCCTCTGCTGCATTGAAGGAGCACCGATTCCTCTCCTCCTCCCTCCGATCCCCTCCATTTCCCCCGAAAGCGAGCGTCGCATTTTTTTGCGACCGACGAAGACGCGTCATGACGCCTTAGCAGTGGTCAACCTTTATACGCACCGTTAGTACTGAGGAGCATTCAGAATAGCTGAGGGTCAAGTGAGGTTAAGTGGGGGAAAAGCCGCATGGCCGGGTCGTAGTGGCGGGCGGCGGGCTCTTACGTCAAGTCTCTCGTCACGGAGCCGAAACGGGGCCGTTGTGACTTGTTATTGGTTGTTAAGGGTTGCTAGGGCCTGTTAGGAGTTGCAGACTGGTCAGCGCCGTACTGCTCTCATCAACGGTACTGCAAGACACATTAGGAGGTAGAGGTGCTGCAGCCGCCGGGCTGCTGCTAGGGCTGCTGCTGCGGCGGCGGCGCTGGTGGCTGCTGCTGCTGCTGCTGTGCTCCTGCTAATCTTAGGTGAAGGATGCCGCCATGCAAACGAAACCGCAGCATCCAGCGATTGGAAGCCCACTGCCACTATCACCGCCATCAATACCGGGAACTTCCTGGTCGCGGTGGCCAACAGTTGATGAACAGCGGCCCGGCAGCATCGGCGTTAAGACATGTAGCACCAACACTCGCCGCTGCGCTCGGCGCACTGCTACTGCTCCCGCTGCTTTCCGGGTCGGCCCAGCTGCCGCTGCCGCTGCCGCCGCCGCCACATCCCCGGAGCCCCGTGGCCACCGGTGGCGGTGCTGCCGGCAGGGTGGTGATCCCGCCACACACCGCCGCCGCTGCCACGGTGTCCGCGGCAACTGCCAACGGTTATGATACCGGCGGCGATAGCGGCGCCACCGCCGGCGGCAGGACTGCCGCTTCCGCCAGGCGTTTTCCCTCGCGACTTGGCGGCGCTTCAAGAGGCGCACACACCGCCAGCTCCAGCGCCCGCAAGGCCAGCGCCGTCACCGAAGCCAGCGCCAGGGCCGTCACCGAAGCCAGCGCCAGCGCCGTCACCGAAGCCAGCGCCAGCGCCGTCGCCGAAGCCAGCGCCAGGTCCGAAGCCAGCCGCTTTTTACAAAACCGTCGCCTGCTCAACATGGGAAGGGCAGCGACGGCTTCCGGCAGTTGCACGCCAGGGGACAAGTGTAATCGCATCGGTGGAACAGTTACCGCAGCGCTCGTCCCAGAATACGACAGTAACATAATCTTGACGGCCGCGGAAGAAGCGGCGGCGGCGGCGGCGCTAGCAGAGGCGATTTTAGGTTCTGACGCGCTGCAACTGGACGAGCAGAGTCAGCGCGAGCTTTGGCGGGGCTCGGCCGGCGGCGACCCCATCCTGCAAAACCATATTGCCAGCGGTTCTGCCGTACGAGGTGCCAGAGACAACGCGGCGGCGGCATATTCCGCTGACACCATCGACGCCGGCATGTACGGCAGCGCAGATGTGCTGCACGTCGGGTGGTTCTCAGCTGAGCTACTGCGGGAATGGCTAACGGGCCCGGCGTGGATTCTGCATGAGGATGCCAACGACGGCCCCGTCGATATTGTCACGAATAATGTTACCCGTCGTAGAAGTACCCTCGTACATGGCAAGTACGACAGCATTGATGTTGGAACGACGTTGAAGCGAAGGGAGCTGTTGGGCTCGTCTGTGGCCGCTCCGGAACCTGCGCCACGTGTTCTATGCAACAGCGCTAATGTGAGCTGCAGGGCGGCGGGGTTGCCGGTCGGCAGCGCCGCTGCCGCTGCCGCGAAGCTTGGCAAGGACCAGCCGCCAGCCTCCGCCGCTGGCGGCGGCGGCCGTGGCAGTGGCGCTGCCGTCGCCATGGGCGACGGCAACGGCAGCAGCGGCAGCAGCGACAATCGGATCCGTGGCAGCAGCGGCGGCAGCGGCAGCAGCGGCGGCAGCGGTGGCAGCGGCGGCAGCGGCAGCAGCGGCGGCAGCGGTGGCAGCGGCGGCAGCGGCAGCAGAGGCGGCAGCGGCGGCAGCGGTGGCAGCGGCGGCAGCGGTGGCAGCGGTGGCAGCGGTGGCAGCGGCGGCAGCGGCAGCAGCGGCGGCAGCGGCGGCAGCGGTGGCAGCGGCGGCAGCGGCAGCAGCGGTGGCAGCGGTGGCAGCGTCGGCAGCGGTAG